AAACCTTCGCTGTCCGAGTGAGCCATGGTTTCAGGAGAGCATGAGATAAGGGAACTAGCTACTCCACTTATTTCTTCTTCTCAGCCTGCTGGTTCACTCCAGCAATTACCATTATTCCGTGTGGTCAGTACTAGTTGGTGGGGGGGGTCAGCCCAAAATGTATGTGTCAAGGAGACTCGCATGTGGGCCTAGGGGTTTGGCTTAAGGTGTAGGATGTTAGGGTTAAGGGTTTGGGGGCTTTGGTTCAGTGTGTTGAGAGACAGCCTTGCTGACAAAATCCGTCCCGTGTAACTCTGTTGCAAAATCAGGGGTCCTCTTTTGTGGGTCCCCATAACAAGGATCACAGTTTTTTGGCGGGTCTCTATTGCGGTCAACCTACCATCTGTTTCGGAGACCTGATGAGCTATTCAAATGTGCTGCAGGCATGTTGTATTCCGCTGGTCGTAGAGTTGTAGCTTTATTTGAGTCGGCCAATTCTTCTTGCTGGACGAGGCCGTAAATGCAGCTTCCTTGGGCTGGCTATGTGCTGTTATCTCCCTGGGGTTTATCTCGGAGACCTTTCCTTCAAGGTCGTACAGGTGGCCAGACTTGCACTGATCTACTCTTGCTGTGCAGATTGTGGGTGGCAGCAGGGCCATGCCCATGTGTACAGGTAGCGCGCCTTGTTGAACCTGTGACAGGGCCCAGCAGGGTTCCCGGAAGAGGAGAGAGTTGTTGCAAATAGGTTTTCCCGAAGTGTCTGAAGTGATTAAGGCACAAGAGCGGAGGTTCTCTCAGGTGGCCTAGCAGTGTGTGGCCCTGAGATGTACCGACTACCGGTGAATCTTGTTCAAGAAGCCGCACTTTTTGGGAAAAGCTGAGGGAACGAGCAGATGGCCTGCCTGTGTGATCCTTGGACATGACGACATTCTGGTCCTTTTGAGCCGACGCTTCCTCCAGGCTTGGCGGCCCGATGGCCTTCCAACCTTTCACAACGCGTTTCCTCAGAACTTTGATGCTTTGCCGCTGCCCCAAAGAAAGCTGCCATTGCCGCTTCACGCTCTTCTTTCTGTGTCTTCCGAGGTCTGGGGCTGATCAGTACTACTCGCAGCGGCTGCCCCTGGAAGTCAGTCGACATGTCAAGATTACTTTTTTTAGAGTGCCAGGTTTCGCGTTCGAGTTCCTACTGCAAGATGCTTGGCTTTCTGCATCTTTTCGGAGGTCTTCAGATGTTTGAGATTCATGGCATGGGGTTCATGTTAAGACGTGCTCGGGCTGAGGCCTCACAGTACGACATGTCGGAGAGGAACAGCTGAGATGCCCTGGCGCGTGGAGCTTGGGTGCTTCGTTTAAGCTGACAGCGTGAAGCGTCTCAAAGCTCTGCCAGGTCCTTCGATGCAGAGACGCAGCTTGCACGGGTGAGTGCCTTCTTGGCGCAGGTGAGTGCCTTCTTGGCGTGCCTGACCTGTAGGGTACAGAGAAGTGTTTGGTCTCTGAGTTTGGCTGACCGGCGAGGTCATGCCCATCATAAGATAAACTGAGTTGGGCAAGCCCACTCACTCTGGGCTTGCAATGAGACGGCCGCGAGTTGTGCAAAGCACGGGGCACTTTCTGCCTGGCCAAATAGTGCAAGTCAGTTGCCGATTCTGCAGCCAAAGTGCTGCACGTTGCAGTGCCAGACTGTCCTTCGAGCTGAAGAAGTTTCCTGCTTGAAGTATTGGGTCATATTTGGTCACCGCAGCGCTTGGAGGCGTCCAGCTCTAAACCAGCAAAGTGTCACACAGCAGCAGACTTGCAGGATGACGAGCGCGCACAAGTCCTTGCCAGACTTGCAGCAGAGCCTCAGACAAGCTTCGAGAGCACTTGTAGGCTTGTAGTCTTGCTAAGCCCTATCCTTTGACTTGCGTCGCTTGTCCGAGGCTAGCTTGCTACATGCGGGTCTATGCTGGGGCTCACCAACCCTTTGCAGGATGGGTTTCGTTCAGCAGCAGAGATAGAAAGATTGCAGATGCCTTGCAAAACCCTGAATAGGTGAAGAGCTGCTGTTGGAACCCGTGGCGTTGCCAGTCGCAGGCTTCGCCACAACAGGGCTGCAGGGTTCTTTTAGGTGAGAAGACTCCTCTGGGACATTCAGAGTTTGAGCTTGCACCACCGGTTGAGGTCATTTGCTTTCCGGTTGGCTGCGTCAAACCTTATGCCTGTTGAGTGAGACATCCAGACAAGACAGATCTTTTGCGACAGGACAGGAGGAGCCAGAGCTCGATCTCCACAGGCACTGCCACGCTGAGACGCAGACCGAGGCTCGACACTCACTCGCCCAGGAACGATGACGAAGACCATGTAACTGGGGGGGGGGCTTGTTTCATCCGGTCAGAGATATTCAGAGATGATGCTGATTATCTCAGTTTTTTTTGGCTCACTCTCTCTCTACCTTTCTCTATGTCTTCCTTTTTCCGCCTTTCCTTCCCTTGACCGCAGGTGGAATCCGAGGTTCCAGGGTTGGTCCCTATCGCTCCGCCTCCAGCAGCTGCGCCTGCCTCCTCCAAGCTGCAGAGCCAAGGGGCAGGACTAGAATGCCTGATGTGAATGTCAATCTGCTTAGCGATTCCTGTAGGACGCGCTATGTGCCCGGCAAGAGTGATGGAAGCCTCTGAGCTCCGCAAGCTCGAGGGTGATGCGTGCGCTCGTCCCTGCTTCTGAGCATGTGTGAAATGGAGCTATGCAGGAGGGCATAACATTCATTAGGATGTTGATGGATTTCTGTGCAGTGTCAGAAGACAGGAAACTCTACTTGATTCAATGCACCATGAAGACTGGCAGGTTTTTCGCTGATGAGATTCAGCTTACCCACCTGGGCTTGCCAGACTCTGTGCCAGATGCGGGACAGGCTCGCCATGTGTTTATGTGTCAAAGCGTCAAACCATAGTTCCTTATGCAGAGTCCTGATCTTTTGGAGGTATATAGCAAACGGTGGTCTTGATTTGTCAATGTGCAATTTCTGTATTCCTTCTGAGAAGGCGAAGAAGCCTAGTAGTGAAGAGCAAGAGAGCAAGAGACTCTCCTCATGATGCAGTTTTCATTCATACGTCTATCAACATTACATCAAGTGCCACTGAGTGAATCGGGAATGGGACAAAGGAGGTGTCGTTGCAAGAGAAAGCAGATTCGCATTCTGAGCATCTTGGTGGAATCATGTGGAATCCATAGGACAAATCTGTAATCCTGTGTATTCTTTGCCTGGAAAATCTTAGTTTGCATCTTTCCCAGATAATCTACGTTCAGCCCTTATCATTCCATCTAATCCGGGTTTCTCGACCAGGCGCAGCAGCCAGCCCAGCCTGTTTCAGAGGAGCAGGCAGGAGTCCCAAAGTCAACGTGCTCAGCATTACGGATCTCTTGTCTTTGGTCTTTCTGATGGGCATATATCAGGATGTCCCTAGAGATGAATTTCCCGAAGGGCCTGTACGTTGACTTCAACTGAGAAGCCATGCGACTGGAAATTTCCAGGAGGCCCTGCGTGATCAAAGCGCTGCCATACCCACCTCCCTGCCGCTGGTATCGCAACTGGTGCGCGAGTTAATGCAGAGCGGCACTCAGTTGTTGGGCATGATCTGTCCGCGTTTGGAAATTCGATGCTTCATGTGCTCTGAAAAAGTAGACCATGAACACTGGGACCATTTGGGACCTTTGAACCTTTTGAACACCTCCCTTGTGATCCTTGTGTTGGCTAGGGCTACAGCTAGGGGTTCGCTGCTGTTCCATGCAGTGTGCCTGGTGGCCAAGGATCCGAAGCGTGGACGGTTGATGGGGCACCGTCTTCCGCTGTTTGAAGCAGGCCAAAGCTGCCTGATTCAGGGGCTGTTGGGGAGCTCTGGGATTGTACAGAGAGGCTCCCATCTGGCATCCGTCGAAGGTGACGCTGCAGAAAAGAGCTGCGTGTTTTGGACCCGCGCCTGTCCGAGGGATTCGATGAACATGTCGGTGTCGCTGCTGCAGTTATCTACAACTGTTTCCATGGGAGATGGGAGGGGGCAGAGCTCCTCCAGATTCCTCCAGTCTTCCAGGCGCGCGGGCTTTGGAATGAGATTGGCTGGGCATGGCTGGGCGTTGGATACAACTTTACAGTCATCAGTGAAGGATTGGAGACCAGGCTTTGAACGTGTTCAGGCCAGCTTAACACAGGTCATGTCGACAGTTATTATACAATAGTTTTTTGCATCGATGTAAAAACTGTTATAATAGCTTTCGATGTTTGTTTTGCTCATGTGGTCGACTGAGCCCGTCCGCGAATTGAAAGCTGAAGAGTTACTCAAACCAAATCAGTTTGTGCAAATGAATTGGATTGGGAGGTGACAATGTTGCGATGAGCTGTCATCAAGGAGGCGTCGCTGAGGCTGGAACTGGGAGACGTGCAGCAAGCCAGAGGGTCCTTTGAGCAGAGCAGTGTTAAGTTCAAAGCTTTCCAATACCTGGTCCATAGCTGCTGGCAAAGCATCATGAGGTCAGAGCTTTCCAACCAATGGATGCCTGCAAGAGAACTTGTAGACTTGGAGACACGGACGTATCATGCAGCACTTTCCGGGAGAGTCTCAGTGCTACGTATCCACTGCCCAGCAGCTGTGGATTTTTGTGGCTGCCTGCATCTGGCGATTTTTGGCAGGAAAGCTTTTCACGGCCTGTGATACTTGCCTGAACGGAAGTCGAAAGGTGCTGCGATTCAGAGCTCTGCTTGGATTGCCAGACAGCCATAGTAGCCTCTAAGGAATTGCCTCCAGTCTCCGAAGGAGATGCGTGAGACATCCACGATGCCAGATGAGGCATCTGACAAGTCAACGTGTCTTTGGGCGCCGAAAGATTCAAGCGTCTGGGATGCGGCGCAGAAGGTTTCTGAGAATTACAGGGCCAGTCCTTGAAGGGGCTTGAGTGCACTCTTGCTTTTCGACTATGTTGCGCAGATTTTCACTGCAGATGACTGCAGATGTGTAACGATGAACCCCTCTTGGAGCCCAAAATAGTGCTTCCGTTTAAGTTTCATTTTTTACATATGATTCTTTATCGCACCCCTGTGCAGAGCATGTCAGGTTTCAGTGCGACTTCCTTCCAAATTATCGGTATCCTTAGCCTTAACCTTTCAACCCCTACATTGCAGGGGCTGAAAGGTTAAGGTCTGTGGCTGAGGGGCTTATAGGGGATGCTTGGGGAAGTACAGGGGAGAACCACATGACAGGAAAACGAAAATGGAGCTGTTGCCCTGAATGAGAAACATTCCTGACCTGAAGGCTGAGAACGAGCGACGCAAGGACTTTCTGGCTGTTTTGAAGAAGTCGTGGCCACAGCATATGCAAAAACTCGATGGAAGTTCGTCTGGAAGAGTTGTGTCCGAGGCACGTCAGTCGTGTCATGCATGCGAGTGGGCCCGGATCTGCGCATGTTGTAGGAGCAACTTCCCAAGGAAGCTGCCGATTTACAGGCAAGCATTTTGTTCTTTCTTCGGTGTCTGTATCCACCGTATCCTGCTGGAACGATTACATGACCTCAGCAGTGAACGGGCCCAAGAGACTACGAAGAACATTGTTGCTAGGTTGCGGTAACGAGAAGAACTGCGGATTTCCAATATGAAAGTAAGGAGCGTCAAGCCAAGTTCCATTATCAACGGCCTGGTCACAACATTTATGCTGGAAGTCCCCCTACCAATGCAATGGAGTTGGTGAGAACATGAAGTGCAGAAGCTTCCATCCGTGGCATTGTGTGATGTTCAAGGGTTGCTGCCCGGAATTTGACAAATGTTTACAGGCGGAGAACCAGCGACTCAAGGACTGCCTTGCAGCCTTGCAGGCTGAGAACGAGCGACTCAAGGACTTTCTGGCAGTGTTATGCAAAGACTCGTTGGAAGTTCGTCTGGAAGAGATTTGTCAGAGGCATGTCAGTCGTGACATACATGCAAGTGGCCTTGATCTGCACATGTTGCAGGAACAACTTGAGGACGAGAGGCGCTTCGTTGGCGACCTGAAGGCAAGTTTGCAGTTTGTCGTTTGTCAGGCATGTCCAAGAGAATCGGGCCAGGGCGTTCGAGGCTACTAGAAGTATCAAGGTCCAACGGACAACCACGCAAAGTCATATGTCATGTGGCAAGACAGCACTTTGCGGGGAGAATGATGAAGCATGTGAGCTATTCTCAGTCCATGTGCTGACTTCAAAGAGCTAAGATAAAATTGAAAGCTCTTGGCACCACGGCCCATGTTGTCTTGACCGTTGGATTTCTGCTGCATGTTTTTATCATATCACTTCTGCAGGCACGCATGGAACCAGGAAGCTCGGCAGCTGTGCCCGCGACACCGCTGGAGCAGACTGTGCAAATGAAGTTGAAGGAGCAGCCCGCCATCAGTACCTCCAGCAACATCAGCTATAAAGGCTGCATCAAAGACAATGCGGATGTTTGCTGGGTATCTTTTCCTGGCGCTTATGCCTCCGGCTGGGATGCACTGGTGGGACAGCGCAACGCGGATTCGGTTGCCTGTGTCTTTCTGGCGACCCCTGAAGATGGTACTGGCCTGAGATTGGAGTTCTGCACTACTGTGTAAGCATGCAATGCGCAGTAGCCAAGGCTTGGGGAGGCATACGCAGGATCCAAAGAATCCGGACAAGTGCTACTGCTCGCGTATCTATGGTCAAAGGGATTACAGGACTTTTGGCTACATCCGTGAGGTCCGTCCAGAATATTCGCAAAAAAGAATCCAAGACGAGGAGAGAATTGCTGCTTGGACAAATGCTGTAGTTCTCCGCACAGACGCAACTGTGGAGAAGAAGCAGGATATTGAGAACCAGGCAAAGACGCGCTGGGAAAGCAGCGGATGTGTGGCAGCTTGGGGCTGCGAGTGGTTCAGCAAGTGGTTCCAGAAGGTCAAAGAAGCTGTCGATAGGGGACAGCAGCTGAAGGCAGTTTTCTTCCCAGGCCAAGTTGGGGAAGGCATCCCCAGCATGGAGCAACTCTGCGATCGTGACTTTGACCCATGGAATGGTGTGGGATGTGGAGGCTCGCAAAAGGCTGAGCTGGCCACGCTTCGACAGCAGGGCTGGAGCTTCGAGGGCGTGGATGTTACACAGTTCCTTCGCGATTCTTTCCAGCCGGAAGACATGGTCGACGCCTTGTGCGAGGGCAGCTGGAAGCGGTGCCGCTTGGTGAGGCAGCTACCGCATGGAGTGCCGGACCTTCCACTTTGGACGCGATGCACCATTCATTCACTGGGAACAGACTGTCATCGAATTGGTGCAAGTATTCGGGAACCGCTCCTTGGACATCGCATGCTTGGCAATTCGACGAACCGCTCTGAGATATGCTGGAGTGTACGGTGCCTTGAGACAGGAAATCATTTTGAGGCGTCGCAGCTTCGCCACACCACGGTTGCTGTCACCAGTCTGCGTACTTTACTGAGCCGGGGCCCCAAGCATAGTCAACTTTCGAGGATGAGTTGAAGCTCAAAGTTGTAAGTCTGTTAAGCTCTAGAAACTCTAGTAAAAGCAATTCACTTCTAATTCAAATCAACTGAAGTCGAACTGATATCTGTTTGCAACCCAATCAAAATCAATCGGCAATCTACTGAGCATCAGTTGAAAATCAAGTAAAACCAACTGAAATAGGATTTAAATCCATTGAGATGACCTGAAAATTTCATGAAGATCAATTTATAATCCAGTTAACATCTAACCACGATGTTTTGCAAACCAAATCAAAGTGAATTGAGCTTGACTTGGAAGTAATTGACACGCGACTAGAAGGAGTGAAAACACATGCGAAATGGATTTCAAAATCCAATTACAAACACTCGAACATCTACGTAAAATCTATCTAAATCTAATCAAAATCAACTGGAATCCATTTGAGACCAGCAAAACCAATCAGCACCAAGTAAACTATCATTCAAACCACTTTAAAACTAAATCAAATGGGATAAGCAAGCTAATGAAGTCTGATTAAAGTCAGAGGAAGCTTCAAACAAAGCCAAAAGATATTTCAAAACGTGTAATTACAAATCCAATGAATACACATTGACAATCTAATTAAAACTAGTCAGAAACCTACTTCAAATCAATTAAAATCCAATTGAAACCAAGTCCAATGAGAATCAAGTCAAAATCCCATTAAGTTGAGTGTTACGGTGTTGAAAAGGGAGGCGGTCAAAAAAAACTATTATTCTGAACACCGGAAACACTTGTTTAAAGCTAATCCATGCCTCTGCTGTACTCGCCGCTTCAAAACATGACAGCCTGTATGTTTTTCGTGGAACCCCGAATTGGCAGTTTATGTGCGGCTCTCTGAATTTCTGGATTTCAGCATTTGCATGATGCCTGGCCTCGCAAGTAAAGGCTATGACACAAGAGCGCTGGAAGTTAAATCCTTTAAGGCCTGGGGCTCGAGGCCTTTTAGGTCTGAAGGTATCCTGGTCGAAGACAGGAAGTAATCTCAGAGAGCACCTCCAAGTTGTTTATGCTGTGCTTTTCTTAGCTAAGGCACGCCTAAGTTGAGTTAAGGATGTCGCATTTTTTTGGGCCCATTTTTTTGTTACTCTGACCCCAACCAATACGTCCCCTGACACTTTATGTTCTTCCGACCCCCTCTGCAAAAGCGGGTCCAACATTGCAACAGCCATACACAGAAAAACACAACCATGCGTGCAGACAAGCCACAGACCCAGCCGAGCAATGTTTGAGATTGCCGATTACTTGTAGTATGCTGTTTTGATGCTGTCGACCCATGAGGCAGTGGTGCCCTCGACCGATGCTTGAAGAGATGCCAGCTACCATCCTGCTTGAAGATTTTGCGCTGCGAGGAATCCAGGCTCAAGGACGGTACTCCCTCTTTGAGCATCAGGATGCAGCTGCAAGACTTGCACGGCTTGCAGACACTCAAAGATTGGGTTCTCAGTGGGTCTCTGGATCGTGAAGTCAACCGGGCACTTTTGCAGTTGGAGCAATTGTTGCCAGACGGGGATGCCGAACGCACCAACATGGATCGTCAGGATATGGCGGACTTGCAAGTGCAAGCCGACAGCAGTCACTTCTTCCAACATTACGCAGACAGCCTCCTCGGATTTAGGAAGCTGACGCCTCACCAACAAGCGAGCCTTGAAGCCATGGAGGGTCAGCGCAGGATTCACTTGTCCGCTCCAGCAGGAGCGGGCAAGACTTTTGTGGCTGTTCAACGTGTACTTGAGACACTCAGGAAGGACCCATCAGTCATTGTGCTGTATGCTGCGCCTTATGTCGCCCTGAGCCATTACTTCCTTAGGTGGCTTGCCATAGGGTTCACGGCAAACCTTGTTCCCGGTGGGTGCACGACTGCAATGTCAGCAGTCGGTCATCTGATGTCACGATTGTGGCTGCTGCATAGCCCATATGTGTCGTTCGACTTGCCATATGTTGATGATGAAGGGCGAATACTTTGCAAATCGGCGTTAACCAGCGTGCCGACATTTGAGCTTGCAGTCTTTGACGAAGCTCACAGCATCTTCCTGCAGGGCGTGGGCAGCACTATCTTGGATTCGGCAGTCAGTCGTGCACATTCTGTGATTCTCCTTTCCGATGAATCGCAGTCATCGGCCCTGCAGCAACGCTATCCACAGATGGACACAGTCAAGCTGACTGAAGTGGTCAGGTGCACGCAGCGTGTAGTGGCAGGAGCTGCAGCCTTTCAAATGAGGTCACAGTTCGAGGCTAAGATCAGCACCTTCACTGCCATGGAGGGCCCGCCCCTGAAGACCTTTATCTTCCAAGCTGCATGCAGGGACGAGATCTATCAGGAGTACTCCCTGCATGTGATAGAGGCTTTGTGGCATGTGGTCCAGAGGCTTCCTGGTATCAGCTTTCACAGGCGGGTTGCTCTCCTCGTGCCCGATGGAAAGTTCCTGGAAGGATTGAAGAAGCCGCTCAGAGAACGCTTGACCCGCGACTTTCCTTTTCGGCGCTTCTGCTTGCAATCCTTCCAAGAGGCATTATGCCACCTTCCAGATCACTTCAACTGTGCTAGGATGCGCCATAGCGAACAAATCAACGAACACATCATCCTGGATTCTGTGGAGCATTCACGTGGGTTGGAGCAACCTATTGTTATTTGCATTGGGCTTGATGACTGTATAACTGACACAATTGGTGATGTGGAAACTCGATCACGACTGTACACTGCCATCTCGAGGGCACAGTACATGGCCATTGTAGTCAATGAGTATGTCAAGGGAGGAATGCTCGAATTTTTGGGCACGTTTTCGTACAAGTCTGGCAGTCTATCTGCCTCGGAGCAGCACGCTGAGAATTTCCAGGGTGCTGCGTCTGGCCTGCAGCGTAGGGTGACTCGCCATTACGCCATTCCTGACTTGCGCACGTCGATGCTGTCAACCACTGACACATCTCACAAGGATGAGAACGAGGAGGATACGGAGGATGAAGAGGATGAGCAGGACGAAGATGCTGGGCAGAGTGACATGGCGGATGTGGATGCTGACTTGGAATCGCAGAAGCAAGCTGAACCTGAGATTTGCGGAGAAGAGGGCTGGGATTCCAGCACGATAGCTAATCGTCAGAAGCGAGCTAGTACGTCTGGCACAGTTTCCAGCTTCGGGTCTGGTCGGACTCGAAGTAGTCGAAGTAGCAGCATTTGGGAAAATACAAACGTTGACATGCTACCCAACGTTGATCCCCTGTACGACCCAATGGCGGCCCGGCCCTCAGTTGTCAAAGCGCAAGGAAGGCTGCAAACCACATAAGTAGTGATTTTTTGCCTAGCGTAGAGTCACGCAGGCATTCACCTGCGACGAAGTCGTAACAAAGTGCAGTCTCCTTGGGAATGCTGTCATTTCGTCTTTTGGAAGAGGTGATACAAGTCGACTTGGGATGTCGCCGGGGTATCGCCGGGGTATCGCCAGGGTCTCGCCAGACATGCAGCAGGGGGATACGGCTCTGCAACACTTGCTTCTCACCTCTTGAATACCTTGCCCCTCGAACTTCAGTATTGCCCCTCGCGTAAACCAAGTTGCGGTCACATCGGGAAACAGATTTGTCCTTATGACTTGGTATTGCAACAGGTTTACATGCAAACATGTGTTTCGAAACGTGTTTCGAAATTCAGCATTTCTGAAGCAGTTGAGTGGGGGAGAGGGGATCTCATCCGTAGAAAAAGTCATAACACGCGGTTCCTTGGAAAAGCGCTTCCCAAGCTGTTTCTGTCAAGACATTTCAAGACTTTGTCTTTTGCACGTATCTGCTTCGCAAGCTGTGCGGGGTTGAGTTGTTGAGTGGAGCACGGCAACAGCGTGGCTGCCAGCTTGTTGCAGAGCTGGGTGTGTGCGTGTCCAATGACTTACAGGGAACAACCTGCAAGGACAATTTTCAGGCAAGCCGTGAATTATTATTGGGGTGACCCTGTAGTCATAGTAAGATCGGCGTAAGTGGTGATGACTCTCACTGTGCATTGGCACAGAAGCTTTGGGCAATACATTTGACATGTCTTATGCGCAGCTTGGAATGCAGGATTTGGCCAATTGTGAGTGTGCAGACAATGGCAGCACATGCTCAAGACATCCATGGATGTAGCTGCTCAGGCAAAGGCTGCCGAAGACACGTGCATTAAATTCATGGGACACAGGGACGTTGTGAACGCAGTGTGCCTCGTTGATGACACGGCATTGGCCAGCGGCAGTGAGGATGGGACCATCAAGCTATGGAACGTGCGTACTGGAGAATGTATCAAAACGCTTGAAGTCGGTAACACCGTCTACTCACTATGCCGGATTGACTCCACGACATTGGCCAGTGGCGGCACGGATGACAATGTCACGATTTGGAATTTGTCAACCGAAGCATGCAAGAGAAAGATGTCTGGGCACAGCGGCACGGTGTATGTGCTATGTACCTTCGGAAACAATGCGTGGATGTTGGCCAGTGGCAGTGCTGACCTGTCTGTCAAGCTTTGGGATGCAAGCGCTGGGCAATTGCAGAGGACACTAACAGGACATACGGGCACCATTTGGGGACTTTGCAGGGTGGATTCCACAAAGATTGCTAGTGCCAGCAACGATGGAAACATCAAGGTCTGGGACTCGACCACAGGACAAGCAAAGGTAACCCTTCATGGGCACAAAGGTCCAGTATTCTCAGTTTGTCCAGTGACAAGCACGTCCCTGGCAAGCGGGAGCCAAGATGGATCCGTCAAAGTCTGGGACTGGGTCACCGCACAGTGCATATTTAACCTCACGGGACATGCCGGTACAGTGTACTCGATTTCCATAGTTGGTTCTCTAGTTGTGAGTGTCGGTGCAGACGGTTTGATCATGGTCTGGGACATGCAATCTCGCGAACGCAAATTGACTCTGAAAGGGCATGCAGGCGCCATGTTCTCGGTTTGTGCAATGGATTCCACAGATACCACGAGATTTGTGACTGGTGGCACAGACAAGATGGTCAAAGCCTGGTGTATGGATGACGATATGTGACTAGCAGGGAACTTAGCTCTGCAGTATCTAACTTTACCTTATTCCGGCTGCATCCAAGCGTGCTTTACTTTGCACAGTATGTGACACCTTGGATCCAGACAAGAAGCATGTGTGATGCCAGATATGTCATGAACTACAAAGGTGATGCTCTGAACTCGCGAAGGCGGAGAGCGTCGGAATCTAAGCTGGGCTTTGCAGAAGCAGTGCGCAGTTATCTTTTGCTTGGTTTTCGGATCCAAGTGTTTGTGTCGGGCAGCAGCAGGGTGATAGGGCGATGGCATACTTACGGCCCGATGAAATCTGAAAGTTTGGCAGCTGGCAACGGCCTTCCTGTACAGTGTACATGTAACCGAACGCAGGCCCCGAAGCCTGACTTTTCTTGTAACCTCAAGCAAGGGTCGGGAGGCCTTTTCGGTTCGTTTCTTTTCTAGACACATGATGACCAACCCTACACTCTAAAGCCTGAAGCCGAAACCATGAGGCTTACATCTCGCACCTGCAGACCCATATCCCAGAAAAACCTTAGAGCATAAACTCACAAGCTTCGAGCCCGCGATCCAGGCTTGGGCCATCCCCAGCTGCCTACTCAAACACGAAATGCAGAGACACTTCAAGGGGCCTACTCATTGCACTGGGCTTGTTTCGTTGTTTGTTCTTGATGGGGTCCCATGCTTCTTGGAGATAACTCTATTGGATGCGCATCAAGGGCGTATCGCATTATACAGAAACGTTTAGAGCCTCAGGATTATCATCCATCACCATAGACAGTAACACCAGTAAGTCGCCTCATTGGCAGCATGGTCATCTGCTTGACCGTCGCCATCATTGTGTTCGTTGGTTGTTGTCCTTTTTCATCTCGGTGGTCGTAATCATGATCGCCGCAGAACCACTTATGTTGACCACCATCTTTCAAAGTGTTCATGATGCTCCTATCCCCGGCTGTCCGGCTGTCTTCTGAAACCAGTACATATGTCCTACCATTGTCATACCCAAGCGGTCACTCAGCCAGGTTGCGCCATTGACTGAAAGATCCGTACCTAGTGAGCACAAGGACCCTCAACACCACAAAGATCATGGTTATCGTTGTTGCCGTATCTCCGCCGTCGTCATGCTCATCGTCATCGTCGCTCATCGTCATCGTCGCTAGCATAATCTTCAGCACTGTCATGTTCGCTACAAGTGCTGTGGTTGTGGACATCCTTTGGCTTGTTCTCCTGCATCATCTTGTTTGGTCCAGGCGTTAATTTAATCGGCTTGCTCCTCTCGAACCTCAAAGTGGCTCGGAGTAAATTGCAACTGAAATGAGCATGTTCCAATCGTGAAAGTGTTGAAACCTTGGAATTGGTCACAGGGCCTATGCACACGCGAAAACTCTAAACAGAATCAATTTACATTCCTGAACATGAATTTCACTATAGGAACATAAGGGCAATCCGCAAGCTTTTTGACGATGCGGCATGCCTGAGGAACGTGCCTGCGTGCCATCTGCTCCTGAACGGCAGGCGCTGAGCGCCATTGTCAGCATGAGTTGGGCCTTGGGGATCAATATGAGATGCGCTGTTTTTCCTATCAGAGTTGCTGCTCTGTTAATGTGATCTATGTATTAAGGGCAGTGAGTGGAACCAGATGCACGAACTAACTTGATTAGACCGAACCAATCCAGTGAATTGATCAGCCGTGGTCGTGGGGATCGCCGCTGAAAGAGGTGTGCGCAGTTTGGCTTCACCAGAGAGACCCTCCCCGCTGAAGTTGCCTGGACGACTAAAAAAGCGTGCTCAGCACATGTGAGCGTTGACTTCGACGGAGGAATTCACGTCCTTAGCTGCAGCCACAAGTGGCCATCCAAATCGCTCTTGCCGGGGTTGCACGGTCGACGCGACAACCTGTTGAGATAGCCGGGGCAGATATAAAACATATGACTCCAAAAAGCCCCCCTACAGCATCGGTAAGAGCAAACATGTTTCGGAGGGTCACTGCCAGGAATAGCCGCCATCCAAGCTGGAGACACCACTGAGTCTAAGGGAGCACATCGCTGTGCGATGTCTTCGTTGTCCCCCTCCTCTCCTGGAGGCCGGAAGCGCCATCGTCCAATTCCATGCAGAGAATCCTGGGTATGAGGTTTGGGGCTCAGGGTTCAGGGAACGTTTAAGGCTCAGGCTGTAGCACTTGTGGAAACTGTCTACAAAGCGCCTATGCGAGGTTGCATGACTCAGGATGGTACGGACAATTTTTTTCACTTCCATTGTAAGATGGGCCCAGAATAGATTTTCCCATTTTGGGCACCCCCAGATGGCGAGCGGTCTCAATATGGACACTGTGCTGCCTCAACAATGGCAAGAACACGCCACAGTTTACAGGGATTCCTCTCGTGCCTGCAGTGAACCTGCGCAAGTGATTGGCCCTTCGTTTTGCAGTCATGCTGCAGTCACAGATCTTGGCTTTACATCATCACTATTCTTTCGCTGAATCTTGTCATTGTTGATATTTGATATGAAAATTCATCATAATTTATCCTCTCATGACGAGTTGGAGTTGTTGCTGGATTGGTCCGAGGCCTGGGTCGGCTAATTTAGCACCTAGCTTGCTTGAAAGGTGTAGATGGCGCTGTCCTAAGTAGAGGTAGCTGTCAGCGGCCCAGAAGAATGAGCTTGGCCTCAAAGATTTAGCCTGGGCCACGCTGACCTCTCAAGCCTCCTTAACTGGGGACCGCTGCGCAGCGCAACGCTTTTCTGCTTGGTAATGGGCAAGAAGCGGGGCTCAAAAAACGAAAATTCCTGATACTACGCCTAAACCCGTACCCTTACACTTTGAGTCCAAAGTTCTTTGGGATGCTGGTCGTTCTGCAGGCATTGCGTTCCAGCGGGGCTTTCAAGTGAGCAGTGAGCCTAAGCCCGAAACCCTTTTATAGAGGAGCTGGCTTGTAGAGGGTTTGAGGGAGATGCTGTTTGCTCTTAATGGCATGGATTTTCCATGAGGGAAGCTGCCAGAAAACTAGAGGACAATTGCAAAGTTTGCGGCTTCCTTCCGAGTCTCTGACCGAAGGTTCTTGAAACAGAAGTGCTAGCGGGGTTTGAGGCAGTGTGGGCAGCAGTGGCCACAGGTCATGCTCTGTAGTCTTAGGGTAAGACTAGAGAATATGACCTGTGGCTTAGCGCTCATAGTTGCAGCAGCCTTCAAATCACTGCCTAGGCCTCGCTCACGAGTTTCCTTGATTACAAACATGGGATGAAAGTGTGGAAGTTCGAGATCGCAGAACCAGATCGTACAGGGCAGGGATCTGATTCAACAACTCCTGGGAGCCTGCTTGTAAAAGGAAGGGCCTGATCTAAAAATCGCAGACCTGACGGAAAAAAATGTGCCTGCTCGAACAACAAGTGCACAAGGGCCCTGAAGAATGAGAAAGCATACACCAGGACCAGAGCTAAAATGGAAGCACATCGCTTGAAATCTGCTGATTGACGTTGTTCAGTACTCAAGCTCGCGTAGTGGCCTTGCAGGAATCGCATATACAGGGCCTGTGATTTGTAGCTCATGTTGGCTTGGGGTTCCAGATAAGAGAGACCATGTTGTTTGCCTCGGATGTCATTCAATAGTAACAGGGCTCAGATGGAAGGAGCCTTCTTTCTCAGCTGCATTTAGAATAGCAAGACCGCTAACAGGCAAAACCTATTGGCATCTCATCATCAGACAAAGATTCAGCTGTCGCATTCCCGGTTTCTCACGGAGGCAACAAATCAGACGCTCATTCGTTCTAATGGACGTCAACTACTTGCGCGATGTGGGCCTGCTGGAGCATGTGGAGGCCTGGGACCGTGTGTCCTCTGCACCGGTAGATCCAGAGCTCTTGAAGTCCTTGGAAGCGCCGGATGTGTGCGAAGCAGCACGCTCGCGTTGGACCCCATGGGGGCTGGCTGAGCAGCTCAGGTTACTGCCTGTGGCAGCCCTGTTCCCCGACCTCTGCTCGGAGGTAGTGGAGATCCTTCAACGGTGGCACCGGCGCTTCAGCCTGAAGACTTGGAGCCGAATTGTGAAGGTGACAAAAGGCTCTGCGCACCAGGTGCCTTGTGTCTTGAAAGAGCTCAACGAGTCTGCACCGGTCATAGCCAAAGTGCGGAAGTGGGTGGATTCCCTGCCTAATGATGCTCCGAAGGCCTGCATTGTGGACTTAGGCGCTGGTTTTGGATTCCTGTCCATGTTTCTGGCCGAGCTGTTACCGCCGGAGCGGGTTGCCAAGTTCTTTCTCCTGGACATGACATATCCAAACCTTGGGGTGGGAAACTCCAGCGGCTCAACATCAATCGAGCACCTTCATGGTTGGAAAATCCCAATGTACACACTAAAGGTGGATCTAAAAAAGAAGACCACCCTCAACCAGCTTGCTGCTCGCGTCTTCCGCGCGCCAGTCTCAGAGGAGGATCCACGGCGTGCTCCTGTCTATGCATGTGGCATTCACCTTTGCAACACGCTGGGGATTCGGGCAGCGCAGCTCTTCAATGAAAACGTTGACGTTCGAGGATTTGCTTTTGTGCCGTGCTGCTTTCCGACTTCAAGGCATCTGACGCAGGATGTCATCTACCAGTTGGGTGAGCACAAGTTTGCAGCCAAAGATTTTCTGGATGCTAAGAAGATGCCGTCTAACAACGACCGTTTCTCCCGCTGGGCAGAGCACATCCTGGAGGGGATTGACCCAGGATCCATGGGGAGCAAAGGTATCGAGCGCCACAGGCTGGTCAGGCCACGAAAAGGCATGTTCGCGCAGGACATCTACATCTTCGCTGAGCGGCCGCTCGAGGCGCCCGAGGAGGCGCAACCAAAGGTGCACGCGGCTGTGGACTCCACTGTGGACCCGAACCAGCGTGGCAGCGCTGTAGTCATTTGGGCCAAATACGGGCACGCCGGAGGCCGCAAGCGTAAGTGACCACAAAAAAGGGGTCGAATGTGAGCGGTGGTGTGGCGTGCTTCTGTTCTGTCGCACCAGAGAACCTGACGGCCCTATATGTGCTACGGACCGGAGGTATTTTGACCAGATTCTCTCACCCGTTCCCCACCCGTCTGCCAGCCTCGCTTGGTCTCCCTTTTGGCAACAGCTCGGCTTTCGTTAGGCGGCAGCATCCTGTACATTCTAAAGTTACTGCATGGAGTTTTATTCGTCGCATTGCTGTTCATGCTGCATCCCGTGCAACAACATTGGCTGCACTGCTGCACACTTCACCCAATTGCCCTTAGCTACAGCTTGAGCCATGGAATTCAACGATGGCGCTTGCAGCCACCAGGAGATAAGGGAGACAACGAAGACATCAGCCTGTGCTTACGTGCAACTATGCTGCCATGTGATGGCTGGAACCACTCTGTCCCTCAAAGGATCACGGTCAATATTCGGCATGGGCCCGGTGTGCCAGGCTTACATTGCAAATGCAGGCTGGGAATGTTGAAACGCTGCAAAAAAATCAGACGCAAGGGATTTTCAGAGCCTTCGAAGAAGGCCCTCAGAGCCGGCTCGCCGGTCACGGACTTCATGGGCCCCAGCGGCAGTCTTGCTTCTGGCTTCACGGGCCCGCTCCGGCCTCAGTGAGGCTAAGGATTCCCAACCCAGATCATGTCAAGCGACCGCTCACATTTGTAGTAAGCTGTTGGCAAGCTTGGCCTCACGGTGCAAGGGCCTGCGACGCGGCGTGTTACACGTTTTGCCAATCCAGGAATGAGAGCCGCGCTGGCATGGTTCTCACAACATGAAGCACAAGCCTCCTGATACTGATTTGGCAGCAGTGCGAAATGGAAGACAGGTCTTCGGGATCTCAGATGTGCCCATGCCTCAGGACTTCGGGGGAGATTTCCGCCAGGAGTAAGCTTCAGTGGAGCCATGAAGAGTTTGAGATGAATCTGAGGCACACTGACTGGAAGGAGAATTTCGATCACCTGGCAAGATTCCCTGTGCAAGCCTCGGCGGTTGCTGCCTTCGGGGTCATTTGCGCCGTCCTCCTCCTTCAGGTTGGACCATTCAAGCATGATGCACTGCTGGTGGCAGGGGACGTCTCTCATGCCAGCTCCTCTGCCCTGGGGTGTTGTTTGTCCTGTGGCGAGGGTTTTCAAGAGCTTGTGTGTCTGCCCAAGGATCTTGAAGTCCTCAAGAGGACCCTGGAGCTCTTGCTGCAACGATTTGCCCATGTCTTCTTCGTGCTGGTCGCTGAGTGCCACATGCGCGGCCTATGGCCTTTGCTCTGCACTGGGCAAGCTTTGAGGCCGGGCAACCACGATGTGTACGTTGGCACGATGCCTAGAACCTTGACTCTTGGAGGTGACTGAAAATGTCCGGGTGCAGTGCCAAGGCAGCAGCAAGGACTGTATCGAGTGCTCGCTGGAGAAACAAGACAGGCCAGAGCATTCAGACGTGCTGGATGTTGTAGCTTGTCAGATAAGCAACTGTTAAACAGTGCAATGTGCTAGCTCGTTCCGTGTAGGTTGCTTGAGGAGTGCACTCGGATGGGAGTCGTGCGCACAGCTTTCACAGCCACACCTGCCGAACAGAGTTCATCCTCCTTCAGGTTTGGACGCGCCCAGTCCGCTTTGCCTCTGAGAACCTGATCATTGTGCCCCTCTTGTCATGGTATCACGAGGAGCATCTTTTTTCTACCCAGGGCTACGGTCAGGCTATATCAGACTTGTTTTGGCGCTTTTCCACAAGCTGTTGATAGGAGTTCGACTCGGAGTCGGAGCCTCATTTTGTTTGGCATTTCCCGGCATGCTCGCCAATCCCAGCAGCCAGAAGCATGGAGCTTCTGTTGAGCCTTCTCAGGCCGGATGTCCCAGTCTGGTCTGCGGCATCAGCGCGAAGACAGAGCCGAATAGCGTTTGCCTGGCGTGCTTTGCATTTTGCAACAGATTCTGCCGAGCAGACCACTGGTCTGAAGCCAGGCTCTTGGGGGACGAGATCGAGTGCAGCTGGCCTGAGTGGCTGGGATCCGATGCAGCCCCGGCCTTGAAGCCGCATGCAGTTGCTTGAAGCTTCAAATCAGTGTCTAAGGCAGCCCGGAACCTGAAATTGGCTGAGTTCTTCGATGCCGGGGCCTTGTTGCAGCTCGTGCACTGCCGGTCGCAGCTTAAGGAAAGAAGGTCTTCGCAAGCTGATATCTCTAGAATCCCGAAGGCTCGACGTAGCGGCTGCGAGTTTTCTTGAAAGGGGTGACTTCCATTTTGAAGAGCGCATTCCGACTCATATTCCCGATCTTTCCTAAGTTAGGGCGGGAGAGGCCTGCAAGTCTTAGAGCCACTGCTTGAGGATGACTTGAGGTCACCTTTTCGAGGCTTTCCTTCCTTCACACTGGCTCAAGCTTAGGCAGCCAACGACACGCAGGCGACGGAGAAGGCAGAGTCTTGGCTAAAGCACTGGTCCCCATGTTTCCTTCTACTGCCTGCAGTTTTCTTTGCTGCAAAAACGGTAGCTCTCTTTTGCTCATGACCAGGCATATCCGAAGACCTCCTCGAATGTGGAGCTGGCTGGGACCTAAGTGCAAAGTGCTTGCAGGTGAGCTTGTCACGCTGCACTTGCAGCTTTTAGAACTAGCTCATGAAGACAAGCCCTAAACCTTGCTCCAACAACGCCCCAATGTGATCGCCTTCTTGATTGTGCAGAGTCTGTGCCTCGAGGTCAGCTTTGAGGAGGCATGTGCATCGCGGAAGCTTGGCGAGCAGGCACAGCAACCAGCCAAAATAGAGCATGGCCGGCGTAGAGATTTATGGTTGCCTACGGTTTTGATGCAAGTTCTGAAAAATGCCGTAACAATTTTGCTCAGGTTCCGTAGCCGTAGCTGAGGTGGTTTTAGAAATGTGATGACAAGTCTCATGTCCGTCAGGCAGGCAGGCTTTCAAGGAGCGGAAAAGGCTTGAATGCAGGAAGTACGAAGTTTCGTGCGAGGTGGTTTCCATGTCTCACTTCCTGCCGCGGCTGGAGCTCCTGCCGGAGAAGATGGGGCCTCAGACATAGTTGACACTGGGAGGTTTGGCATGGTGCGGATGCTCTACTGTACCGTTCGCTCTGTTGTTTGGGCAAGGATCGCCCCAGCTGTTAACTCTGAAGTCCCAGCTCCGACGCAACACCTATACCTATATGAGCAGTTGTCAAAACTTGCGGAAAGGAGATGCTGTGTGGCTTGGGCATGGAACCCATAATGAGCCCAAAACATTCTAAAGCGATCGAAAAGCAACACCCCCGCCAAAAACCCGTACTGCTAAAAGCGACACCCCTAAATGTTTTGACCACTAGGCACCCTTGAGGCAGAAGTTGTGTATATGTTTACACAACTAGGTATCCACTTGGGTATCCCCCAACAAAGATGTGTTGCAAACGAAAACGCCCGAACTAGTTGAGTCATTTCACGAGAGCCATGCAAGGCGCTTCCTCTACTTCCCACAGCTGGCCAAAGCATCCGGCTCTCGTTTCCTCGCAGATCGCCTAGCACGCCTCCGGCCGACGCCCGGGCCTCAGACACCGATCGGCAAAGGTGGCCAGCTACCCTCATTACTCAAGACAGATACCCGCTGCAGCCCTATATCCCTGTAGGATCCATCTATTTGGCCACACACACTTCGCCTGGGACCAGACGTTGGAGGCAGGCTCCAGTGGCCGTGCCAGCGGGTTGCGCATAGCTGGGCGTCTCGCACATGTAAAGGCGAGTGACAGGCAGCAGGCAGAATGGTCAAGATCATAGTTCAGTTTCAATGTTCGGGGTAACTTGAAAAGTATCCTTACGGAACCCTTCCAAATGTGAAGGAATGTTCTATGTTATGGCGTCATCCCCTAGTAACCCCTATATACACTTACAGTCTCAGAGTAGCTCTTTTTGAGACTCCTGTATGGGACACTGATTGCTATCCTCTCCTTGCCAGGGCGTGCGCTTTCTCCAAGCAGCCCTGGGCTCTCCGTCAGAGCGCCAAATGAGGAAGCGGGTTCTGCACTTGCAGGGTGGGGCCGGGAGCTCAGAAGCATACAACAGTCACACAACTGGTGGCTGGTGGGGGAGGAAAGAAAGGAATGTAGGGACATCATTGCAAGCTTCGGTGCGTGGTTTTGCATGTGTGTGTAGGAGGGGAAGAGCAGACGCAATGATCCTATGTGCGCAGCCTGCAACTTTCCACAAACATGAAGCGTTTGCTTCAGAATTTCATCAGCGAGTCAGGTCCCGACGCTTCTCTGGTCAGGGCCTTAGTTGGAAAGTGGGTCCTTGTCGGAAGGCCTCTGCTTTGCGTTACAAATGTTGATCAAGTCCTACGCTTAGACTTGTATCTTGGTACCAAGCCGTTCACTGCTGGATCCAGCACCGTGCCCGTCGTGCCTGTACTCGGTGCAATGCTGTGATGAACATGAGAGAACTGCATCTTTGTGTTCGGGCATGAAGGAGCCGACGCTGGTTTGGACAAATCGGCTGCAATGTTGAATGGTGGGAACCCAATTTGGTCAATGCTCGTAGCTGGGCATGCCAGCAAAGGCGAGGGACCTCTACGCCGCTTCCGGCGCCCCGAGCTGCTCTGTGGTCCGACTACTACGTGGCGTGCTCAGGGGTCAGGATAAGGGGGGGAGAATGCTTGTGAGGCTGAGGCAAGGCTCTCATGTGACTTGCAGTCACATATGTCAAGCAATGTGAGAATATTCGTTTAAAGTTTTGCAAGGAGCAGTACTCCTTCGCTTTGGGGCTCCTCTGCCGTAGGCCCGCAACCCTCGGGCGCCGCTGAGCCCTGTGCCGGGCCCATGGCTGCGCTTTGGGCGCAGACCTTGGTGTAAGCTGAGCCGTCCCATGTGTTTTGCTGAAGACATCTGAAGAAGGCAGCATGCCGCAAATCGCCCGAAATTCCCGAAGAATGCTCGCGCACTCGATTGTCTGACAGATGTCTGCATTGCACGTCCTGTGTTGACCAAGTTGACAAGGTGAGCAGAAGCTGTTTGTGAAAAGCGCCATGCACTAAGGCGGCGCCGTCGGAAGCACCGACGACCCCGACAGGCAACAGCTTTGCATGCAATGGTGGACTTCTTGGTGTGGTGCCCTTTGAGGGAAGTTCTTGCCCGGCTGTGTTCTGCAAAGCGCATTATGGCTGGACATTGAGAGGCAGGAGATGGTAACATGGCCAGTGCAGGAAGCCTTGCTCTCAGCCTTACCTTGCCCGAACATGTCTTCCGTGTCTCCTGAACAGTGACAGGTGCCACAGTCTGTCTCGTGTGGGACTTGAGCGAGGACCCAAAAGAGCAGCTGGAGCTTCTAAGCAAGAGGCTTGGCTTAGCACAGTTGAGGCTAACCATGGTTGCGGATCAATCCTGTGCCCACTCGATGATACCAGCTTCCATTTTATTTTTCCATGTTCTTTTTCATGTGGTCTTCCATTATTGCGGCAACAATCCAAAGAATCCTGAGGCTCGGATGAGCGAAGTCGAGCTGAGAGTTTCAGCTCCGAGGCTGCGCGCAGGCGCTTTGCCTGTGTCTCAGTGTTTCTGCACGCTCTCATGGAGCATGGAGAGCACCTCATCACCAGCCTTATGCAATCTTATGCATTTCCGAGGTTTGGATGCGAGCTTCCTTGCGTTGCATGTTAGCTGAGCACTTGGGTGGGAAGCTCAGAGGGCCAGTTGAAATTGCTTTGCTGAAGGTATTGAGAAATGACAGGACTTGATGCCTCGGGGATCAAGTTTGAGTATGGCACGCATGGAAAGCTGAGGACTGAGCTTGATCGGGGAGATACAGAGATCGTATTTTTGATGGTTCTTCTCTTCTTGACTGGGGTGGACAGAGTGTAAACTTCGCACTTCATTCTTTGGTAAGCCTGGGGTTTCCTGAAGCCGCCTGTGAATGCTGGGCCAAGGCCATCACTGGCAACACCTTTGTCTGCGCAACGTTGCAGTTTCAGCGTCTCCCATTCTGGGGAGGTGGCGGGAGCACATCCGTTCTTTGCCAGAGTCCGCACTAAGCCCTAATCTTCCTTCAGACCCAGCCAACAAGCTACTTTTGCCTGCGAAGTTTGAGACTTCGTTTGACAAATCGGCTTTGCAAGGTGGGTGCGCTGCTGGTGTTCATGCCGGAAGAGATGAATCCAGGACGGTTACATGAGCTGCGGTACGCTAGAATTAACTGGACACCGCTCTCTTAATGTGGTTACTACAAGTACTCAAAATGTCCGAACAGGATCCCCTGTCCATTTCCTGTTTCCCATAGTGACTGTACTCTGTGGGAAAGTTGCGCTGCTCTCAGTAAAGCCTGAATCCAAGATAGTCTTTCAATGAGGAAGCAGCTTCAGCCTCTAGCTTTGAATCTGCAGGGGGGGGGGGTTTGAAAGTTGGGATGCCATTTCGTTACTGTCCAAAACAATTTCCAGCATTTACTGGACGACACTTCAATCTGTGACAAGCCACGCAGAGGCTGCACAAGCAATCGCTGTCTCCATCTGACACTTGAAACAGGAGCTGCGGCCCCTCCTGTTGGAATCGATCTTGAGCTACACCGGCCAAGGCAGTCTAGAAGCCCAATCATTCGAAATCATCCCGCTGAGGGTTGCTTTGGCTGGTCTCGCCAATCCAATTTCGCAAGCTGTTTTCGGTTCCATGTCCAGGAGATGAGGTTTGACAAGTCGTGACAGAACTTGAGAGAGTTTGAGCGCAGTTTTGGATGCATTCTTGAGCGCAAACCGCGCCTGGATGGGGGTTTGCAGTGTCAGCTGTGTTTATGAAAATAATCCAATGTTAAGCACATTGGGAGCATAAGTAGTTGCACGCTCACAGCGTGAAGCTTGTCTTAAATGCAGGTACTTTGTGTTGTTGATTGAATAATGACATATACGGCCACTACAGCTATACCATAAGCACATAGAGACATAGAGCGCACGTTTCGATGCAAGAGTCATGCGTACTATGGCGCACTCTGAACTCCTCATCAACCCGTCCCTTGATTCAAGAAACTAACGTGACTTGCAGGAGCTTAGCTGCATACATTGTCCTATGTAGATTTTTGTTGGAATTCTGGATTGTTTGGGCCAAGCTCCCAACTGTGGCAAAGCCAGGCAAAGCCAGCACTTGAAAACGGATGATGTTTTATTTGAGCATGACTTGCATCAGGTCAGGAAGGTGCAGCTGTTGTACAATCCATTGCAAGTTGCAGCTTAAGTGCTGAGAACGGAAGCTGTTTGGGCCAGGCCATTCCACAGACTGGCGAAACGATTCTTCGCATCGTCGGAAGTGGCGGCTTTGGATGAGGTACGCTACTCCTGCAGTTGAACGGGACAAGCTCACAGAAAGCGCTTGTGCTTTTGTTTGTACTTGGCTTGAGGAGGAGCATGGAGGAGCAGTGGATGCTAAGCCCTTGTGTTTGCTGTTGCGGGGCCAGGTGTCCTCAGATCCGGCGGGGGGCCTAAAAAAGTGGAGCTCTGTCCATGCGCTCACTGCTTTGGCACGTACTTTGGTTGGAATGCTGCACCTTTGCTTTTTGCCAATGAGCCAAGGATGAAGTGTTGCAGCGGTTCTTCCAGATACTGGGTTGCTGTTAAGGAACTTAAATTAAGTTGCCATCAAATGGAAAAGAAAATGGAAAATGAAATGGAAACTGGGGGAATATAGGGATTTAGGGACTTAAATTAAGTTACCATAATGGGTATATACAGTAAATAATGGGGTTTCCCCAATATAGTAACTTGAATTAAGTTCCTTAATAGCAACCCAGGATGTGGACCAAGAAGGAAGCATGGCTGAAGACCCTCGGCACTGGCCTTGCAGGTGGTGGGGATTTGGCTGCTTGTGGTTGGGGTTGTGGTTGAGTACCTTAAGATGCTTTGTCTTTAGTTTTGCATTTCTTAAGTTTAGCTGAAGCAACGTGTGGCTGCCATCAAGCCTGGTTTGGTGGGAGGCGGCCTTCAGAACTTGGACTGCTCCACTGCGGGCGATGTGCAAGCTATGGTGCAGGCCCTGCTCCCGCGGACATTCAGTGTATAGTAGTCAATTCTGCAGTCAAGTTGTAATGTTCATGTTGCAAACGATTGGAACTGCGTTCCGCCTTCAACTGTCTTCTGCATGTTAGTGGCTGTTCCCTAGTACAGGTCTCAGAGGGCATTGCCAAGCCCACGAAGTACACCGTGTGGGCATCTCACCCGCTGGCCGAGCAAGACCGGTGACTGCACAGGGCAGCCGCGAGCACAAGCAGTAGACGAGAAAGCAGTTTTGCGGGCAGTAATTACTCAGCAGTGATTCGCATCGAGCACTGCCAGCTTGATCCAAGTCGCAGTACCAGGTTGACTGAGAACCTTGCCGAATCAACTGTAGAGATTGAATCATGTCACTACTCCCGCTACAATATCGCACTACTTCCGGTCACTTCCCATCGCCAGCCCCAGGTCCACCTTGCAAGAGGTCCCGTTGCAGCAGCATAGCCCGAGCCTCACTTTTCCTTGACGATGGTAAAGGCAAACTGCGGCTGTCCAAACGGGGTTTCTCGGAATCATGAGCTCTCTTTGGGTCCCTTCAATAGCCCTTGTAATTGTCGGGGTACAAGGGTGTACTTTCTTTTGTCGAGAGCTGGCCACATTTTTAATTTCGTGCTGTGATTTGCTGCCAGCCTTAATTGTGAGAGCTTCTATTGCTTTTGGGCTTTTTCATTGCCAGAACCATGCAAAAACGTGGCAGCATCTTTGCGAAGGTTTTTAGTGTGGCAACGAATGCCACTGTTACTGCAAAGGTTGTCATATCAGAACTTGGATTGTTCACAGTGCTCTAGTTATCTAGGTCAAGTAACTCACGCGAGCCCCAGAAAAACCGTCACGCTCAAGTCAAATTTTCATTGCTGAGGAGAAGCATATACCGTACGAAAGGTTTCCTCGGTGTTGGAGTAAGCTTTCTCCGAGGCCTTGTATACGTGCTTCTATTCCAAAAGAGCCGGACATGCCATAACCAATCGTTGGTCCTTGTCTTACTGTTTGACTAGTATAACATTGTCTCGCTGATGTGGCTTACCATGAGCCTTTCTTGCCTTTGTACATCCTGGTTTGAGTCTGTGGTTGGTCCGAAACATGTTCCAGGAACAGATTACAAAACAAGAGCAGAAAAGTTTCCAAAGGTCATGCCCTGAAATGCGGCCGAGGCCTGTCAGTGGCCTTGCCATGTGGCACGCCCATGCGGTTTGACAACATGTCCAAGGCCGGGAAATGCTAATGAGATTCAAAGGCTTGGATGAGGGATTATTAGTCTGATGTCTGAAAAATGCAAGCCTTCCCTCCAGGACCCTGTTGCAGTGGGTATAGTGAAGGGAATCCCAAGGTTGCAGGGCATCAATGGCTGCTTACTTGGCTACTGTTTCCATTACTTGTTTGTGTCCTGGTTTCCAGAAGCTCGCCCATTGACCTTGGTCGCCACAATTGTTTGGGGCCAAACAAATAACAAGATGGCTAGCAGGCCCTACCTCACGGCCTGGTGTGCGGTTTTCACAAGAATTGGCAAAACTTGAGTAGGCAGTGTGTCAAAATCCAAGACGTGCGTCCTGTGGATGGGGATCAGCTTCCCACTGCAGAGAAGACTTCGTCAAGTTACACATGATGGAAGCACATGGTATCATTCGTGTGATCGGAAATGGGCGCTTCTCAAGCCTTCGACTGCTTAGTACTCATGATGGCGCTCGTGTTATCTCACATAGTCTTCGCTTGTTGTTGAAAGGATCCTCAGGCCCTTGTTGTGAGGAATCCAAACCCCAAAGTCCCAATCCCGGCACTATATTGTGATGCAGCTAACAATAATCCCTGCCGAGGTTGGTTGGCCGCACATGCTTCGGGTCTGCAGGTCTTCGCGTGCAAAATGATGCAAAGTACACCTGGAATACGCTGCTCAGCTTTCAAGGATACCCCCAAAATGTCATGACCTCATCATAGTGACCTTTCAAGATGGGAAGAACTTTGACGTACCCCTCCAGTGCAGATCGGATCGTCCGGAGTAATTTCTGGATTATGAATATTATTCGTGCAGGCTTCTGGCACCTTTTCAGAAACCTAATCTAAATGCGTGCTTGCCGAGTGTCGCTTTATTGTCTTCTCTTGTCCATGGTAGCCACCCTGCAATCCCGAACTTCATCAAGCCAAGCATGAGCTTTACAAGAACATTATAGCGCGAGAGTAGGGTTAGTTTCAGCAACAGTTCCATGATGTCCAGAGTTCAGGGGGGTGAACCAACTTGTCAAGGGCTTACAATTGAGCTTTTGTGCTACTGGCTCAAACATCCCGTTTCAATGACAGTTGCATTCCGTTTCAATGGGAGTTGCAAGTAGTTATGAGCACATGAACTACTTAACCATGCAGTACCTTTCGTCCCATCCCCGCTTGTGGGCGCAAGTTTTGCATTCCAGCAGAACGTTATCACGGCGAAGCATTCAGCCTCTTCCTGCCGCCATGCCATTCTCTAGCTTGATGATGCAGCTGCGGCAATGCGACGCAGACAACAGAGAAGCCGCGGCAATGCTGGGGCGGTTTCCAACGTACCCTGGCCCCTAGTTTAGCGTGCTGATCTGTCATCCATGAAGTGAGGGTTTATTTTGTACTCATTTTCTATGCCATTCCACAGTTCATGTCGTCTCTTCTTGTCCGCAGACAATGATCGGTCCAGTGGCAAGCTAACCTGAATGAGTAGATTTCAGCTTGCAAACAATTCCAAGATCACGCGTGATCCTCAGTCCTGATCGCCAAGATCGCCCAGCTTTCACAATAAGCCAGACAGTCGGAGACCGTGGGTGTAGTTACGTTTGACATTTCAGTTTAACCTTGATGTTAAGCTTGCTGCAGCCTCTCTCTATTTTCAGGTTGATGGCGGCCCCAAACATGCAGATCCCGGCCTCCATTGCTCCCAAGTTGGATGGATGGGGGCTGTCACGCTGGCAGCTTGCAGTCCATTAAAGATTTTTCTTCAAGTGAAGTTGCAGCAACGAGAGTCCAAGACCATTTCAAAGTTAATGTGCTTCACGGAATGTTTAAAGGAATCGCATGTTCCACAGAGTCTTGCAGACCCTAAACCGTGTCTTTCAGATAGCTTCTACCGGGGGAAGCCGAGGCATTGGCATTGGCATTGTGCGTGTGGATGACATGGAGGCCACTGCCTTCGTGAAATAGGTCATCACAGAATCAGACGAGCCAGAGAAAGTCGATGTTCACCCCCGGAGGCGCTCAGCTGATCGCGATGACACAGTGCGGGTACACGGCAGCAAGAGTCCGCGTTAATATGCCAGGATATGGTCTCGTGTTGACAGCTTTCAGTGTTATCTTCACAGCTGTACTTACTGCAGGAGCCAAATCGCCTAGTTACATCTTGCATCCTCGCCGGTAGCCTCTTGAAGAGCAGCATGCCGACAGGATGAGTTTGGTTCTCGATCCATGAATTTCTTGGAGGGTCTTGCTCATTCTGAGCAGAAAGGGATCAAACATGAAATCTTCTGAACCGCTTGAACAAAAATGCTGGACGCGAATCGCTTGCCAAACCTCACGCACCTCATGGGTGCCAGATGGTACCAGCATGGTGAGAGGTATTGGAGTCCGTCAAAGACATCAATGGTAACGTCGTGGCTGCGGTCTCCAGCAAGGATGCTGGGGCTGGGACGGCGGATGGCTTGCTAAACAATGCAATGTCTCAACAAAAGGGTTGTGGCTTCTTCTATATCCTTCCAAATACTCAGATCCACGAAGCCCCGCATGGGACTGGCAGTCTGGTGGTAGTCTCTTTTCTGAAGGCTGTCTGCTGATAATGCCTAGGAGAAGGCTGTGTGGCTTCTATCAGCTGGAAGCTAACTTGCATTTTCTTGGCTTGCCGGAAGGAGCTGGGCGTGAACTTTCTGACGTATGGATCAAGCATAATTGGGGCCGAGTACATACAGGCTGACTACAAGGACCAGGCTGCCTTCACTGGCTTTGCGGTTCAAGATGCTTGGCCGTATTTGTTGGTGCCTCGTTGTGCGGCAAGCAACCCACGCGATTGAATGCTTTCAGGCGCAGGTTCATCGAGCAATATGTGTACCGTTCACTCATAATGTGTAACATTCACGCGCAACTTCTGAGAAAAGGGAGTGAGTTGTTGGTGCAGGTTCCTTTGCTCGGCCACCGTATGATCTTCGAGACTTGAAAAACAATCATTTGCAATGCTTCTTCTCACATCTCACAGCGAACCGGCCGGCATTTTCCATGGCATCATGAAGCTCAGCAAAGGAAAGCAATTGTCAGAACCATGAGAATTTCTCCATGCTTGAACTCACTCTCCACACTTGCTTACAAAGGTCAGAAGGTCAGAGTAGAGAGCTGATGCACTCCTGTCCTAAGGCAGCCCCCCCCCCCACACCTCCGCATCTTGAATGCTTGACTATGCAGCCTGCGGTCAGCCAAGGAGAGCATAATCTTCGTGAACAGGTCGATTAGGCTGGGAGCTCAATCCCCAGCTTTCTCAGCGTTCTCCTGTTGCGGGGCAGGCGTGCCTTGCAGCTGGGTTTGGGTGCTGGAGTCGTGGCCAACTTCTTGCGAGCTCAAAAGGTCCAGGCTGGGATGGTAGAATGACTTGACTGCAGCTTCTCCGTATATATGTATTGCACATGCTGCTTACTGCAGCTCAGAAATGAGCTGGATTGTGGCAATCCCCAGTTTCTGCATAGACCTCTTAGCCGGTTCAGGTTGATGTGGTGGAGATTTCTGATGCCGTCCTCTACCTGGCAGTGACTTGACATGCCCAAATTGACCTGCTACAAACTGCTGCTGTAGGAACTCTGAGCTTAATTCCAGTTCGCGAAGTTGCTTCGGAACATCAGCAATCAGAAGGGGTCATGGCTTGTTTGCAAGGAAAAACACTTCGGCTTCAACTCGTGCTGCAAAGCTGTTGCTGGCGCAGCTTGGTGATTACGAGTCTGGTGTACTCGTGTTGTGTTGAGATGATGATATTCTTGGCGTATGTGCTTGGCTGTCAGCTGTAGTTATCATGGAGAAGTATGCGCGTGTTACAGGCGTTGTAGGTGATACTGGGACGGGACATGCAGCTTATTCAACTGAAGAAAATGAGGTTTGTGATCCTGCGACTGGTGCTGCAGCAGAGTGCCGAGCAGGAGCCTGAAGCACAGCATGAAGCACACTGCAGCACGCGCGAATGTGGTGTTTCGCTAGAAACTCCAAGGGGTCTTGCTCATTTCGGTTCTTGGGGCAAGCTCTTCATGTGACTGGATCATACTTGGCAAGGCCATGGGACCTCTGAGCATAGCGACGCGCGGAGCTTCTTGTTCAGGGAGGCAACCACCAGTGCCTAGGTTTGGAGTCAGGACACGTGTGTGTTTCAGAGCTAAATATGGCTGGCTGGCTGGCCAGCAAGCTCAGGATATGACACAGTGATCAGTGATGTGCCGCTCGGCTGAGGTGCAGGTCAGTCAGATTTGGGTATTTCTCACGCCAGGATTCTCTTTTTCATTGGTGTCTGGAAGAGACTGCATAGGGATTTGTAGGTTTACCTAGGATGAAGCCCAAAGCTTCAACCCTGCACCAGGGAATCAGCCACAACTGAGCCTGAATGCAAAAATTGATCCCGGATCACGTTCCCTCTGATCGTACCTCATGCCCCCCAAAGAGGCTTTGCAACCCAGGTTCAATGGCTCCAACCCGGGGCAAATGCACTCCAAGGAAGTCTTCGCTCGAAGCTGGGCATGGCGCTGATCTAGTCCAAGTTGAGGTGTCCGGAATTCAGGTGTTGTTTACAATGTTGGTGTGTTGATTCAGGGTCCATGTAGCGTTCCCTATTAGCTTTTTTTCTTTTAAAATTAATCGGGGAGGAAAGGGAGTGTTTTACCAGCCTACAGTTCTGAGGACTCAAGGAACACTGGCTGCAGTTCTCTGGAATTCTGGTGGTGAACTTTGTCGGTTGCAGCCTCAGACTGGACGGGGCCCGTCTCAAGACCACAAACAGATTGGGACCTGATGTTGGGTTTGCACCTACCCTTACTCAAGCCCACGTGGCTTGAAACATTCTGTTGACATTGCATCTCTGTGAAAGTGCCCTAGGTTCCTTACGCTTGTTAGTAGTACTCAATGCCATTGCTGTTCGTCATGTTTTGATTCATTTCTGCTGCTGTCCTCAGCAGATCTTACGTATAGTCATGCAAGTTCATGATAGCCAAGGTTTTCACAGTGGTGCAGCCAGCCGGGTGAGCCACAACCTGGCGGCCACGTTGCGCACAGCCGCCGGTCTCAGTTGTTCGCATCTCTCAAGGTGTTTGTGGGTGTGGGGAGCTTTCTTTTGTATCCGGCTTTCGGTTAGGGAAGTCGAGATTCAGCCCTTCTAGTTGCCCAAGGAGGTTCATGCATGTCTATCCAGAATGCTCAACAAGCTCAAATCCAGTCAGATCCTCGTGAAATCCCCAAAAAAATGTCAGCCAGAATTGAAGAAACACACCCTGACAATACTCTGTAATTGACACAAATCCTACCAGCCCGATACAAAGTGGACGTCAAGGGGTTGTGAAATCAGCTCCAGCTTCAATCATTGTCATCACTTCTGCGGACTATGACTCGAAATGAGAGCAATAATTGCTGAGGTGTTCTCGGCCGTGCGCTGCTTCCGTGACCAGAGTTTGGATGATGAGCCTGAGAAAGCCGCAAATCTTGTAGCTTGCCTGACACGGTGATGCCTGTCACCTTAGCTGTTGCTCGTAAAGCTGTTTCTACGATCAGTGCTGTAATGAATGTCCGTATTCTCCGCTTGACGGCGACTAGTCACTAGTGCTAATCTTGGTCTGAATCCCGCTCTTGTGAGGGTTGTACCTACTTTAACTGCTGTACCTTTCAGTAGTCGCGCTGCCTGTCACTAAGTTGGCTGGTGTAGATATGGTATTCGCACCAGGGCACTAAGGAGGCACCTGGGAAATGAGAGCACTCGGGCATGATTTGAGATGACGCAGGTGTGTTTCGCCTCAGATGCACCATTTCGCTTTGACGTGCCGCAGACGGGCGACTTCAAGGACCCAATGCCGCCTTCGGTCGGATATTTGGAAATCCGTGTTGTCTTCTGCACAACTTGTCTCATGGGACTGCTCAGCCCTCCTCCTAAACCACGTGCAGTCATTCGTTCCGGGAGAGGGCAGCCAAAGACAGGACATCTGAGAAACCTCTGCATCTTTCAAGAAGCGCTGTGTGGAGAGACATCTGAGGTTGTCGAGTTTCTGGGTGATGAAGCAATTTCAAGCCTGGGAGGCGAGGCTTGCAATTGTAGGGAGTGCAGTTCGGATGATGTGCGTTAATCCGTCATAGTCCATTCACAGACGAGACATGACGAGACTCTCATTTTGTGCTGGGCAAGGGTTTGGAAGCTTTCGCCTTGCTCTGAGTCTGGGGAGGTCTTGAAACCTTCCAGTGGGATGGCAAGTGGCATTCTGGAGGCACAGCTGGGTCGGAATGGCTGGGACGTGGTGGTGATTCTATTCGCTGCATGTAGCTGAGCCAATGTCATAGTCACAGGTGTTTATTTGTCAAGTAGTGCTGTGGCCCCTGAGTCAAGAAAGTAACTGGGATCCCTTGTTCAGGATGCCCACAATGAGCTCGTCGATGTGGGTACGCAGAAGCAAGTTGAACAGCAGCTCCGAGCTTACGCGCAGAGCCCTGCCAGAAAAATTTCAATGTTGTGTCGTCCCCTAGGCCATGCTGAAGACCTTCTGTTGTTAAGGGCCCTGTGGGAACAGCTACGCTTGGAGCAACCTGAGTTTCATGTCTGGGAGTAGAGAGAGAACGTCAACTCAGTTGTCTGTCAGCACGTTTTTTGCACTTTGCATGCTTTCGGCCTCCTTAGCTCGTGTTTGAGATCTGACGTGCCCAAGGACCCTCATTCCAGGGCACGTGGCACGGTTGCATTCTTCATGCAGGAGTCCTCGGCATGATGCCTGTAGCTTGCGCAGTGTTGATGTTGTCTTTTTCCCAAGCTTTTTGCGGGATCGGAGAATGCAAGAGCATCTGGGCAAGGTCTGGCAATTCCTTGGCATCCAAACATGAGAGTACAAATCTCAAAACAGCGTTGCTCGGCCTTTGCTGGGAAGATGTTCTGCACAAGTGGACATAGTTTCCATGGAGTTGCATGTCGTTCCAGCAGAAGCACGTCTTGCACACCCAAGAGAGCATTGTAGACACGTGGTCGCGTTTGGCTCTGCAGCTGTCCGATACCGTATCTTTTCAGCAGGGCACAAGGCCGGAAACTCAGCTGCACCAGCTCTAACGTGTGAAAAGCCCACGAAAGAACCGCATATTCAAAGCAGACTGAGGTGGCATCTGCTTCCATAATGGCGAGCACGCGAAGCAGGTTCCAGCAACACATGTGGCTGTAGTGAGCAACAGGCAGTATAGGCTTACGCATGAAACAGGCATTGAAGGAACATACCTTGCAAGCCCTTATCAACTGTAAGCCAAGAACTTGGACAGGATACTCCTTGCGCTGCTGCCTTTGCTGGGTTCTCAGATATGCGTGGGTTGCAGAATGCACTGACGCGCACGCGGTATCTCATGTCGGCGACACAAGGCAGTCGTCGCAACGACCATATGTTTCTGTTTGCTTCAGAGGTGTCTCCATGCCGCGCAACTGGATGCAACCTTGAAGAGGAAAAAGGGCGACGACCCCTTCCTCCTGAGGCGGGGCACACATGCTGACCTGAATCAAGAGGTCTTGCCATCAAGCCTTGGGTTTTACCAGCATGAGCTTCAAGAACAGAAGTACTGTAGAGGGGGGGTTTCTTTGAAGTAGTCCTAGAAAGCCACCCGAGCCCCACTGCAGGGCTGTGAGCCTGAGTAGCTTGAGGTCGTCTTATCCATCCACGAAATTCCAGAGTGCCACGGCCTTGTGTCCGCCATGTTCTTTGCCCTTTGCTTTGCGAGATCCAGTGAAAGCAGCTTTAGATCATCAATGAGTACTAGGCTCGTGCCAGTTGTAAGCAGTTATCATTCATGGCATTCATCGACTTTTGGCCCTGCGGAACAGGGAGAGCTGTAATTTTTGCTGAGGTGGAGATAGATTACAGCAACGCCCCACCGCCGGCATCAGTGGACCAGACCATCGCGCGGCCACCCATCGTGAATGGCGACCCTTATAGCGAGCCGGTGTGGAACTTGGAGAAATCTCATGAAACAGGTTGTGATGGTTGTGACTCGCAGACAGCCGGCGAGCGGCATGCGAAGCCTCAGGATGTCATGAGCTCCCCTTTGCCATGGTTGGAGCCAGCAACATGTAAGATTGCTGATTGCAGGCTCAAGCCTAGCTGTCTGTTGCATGTGGAGAAGACGAGATGGGGACACCAGGCAGTTGCAGCAAGCAAGCATCGTGCGTGAGAAAAAAATCGCTAGCTTAGAATCCAACAGTCAGAAGCCCTCTTCGCCAGCACCCGCGATCATGGCACTGTTCCTGATGAAGAAGTGGGAGCAGATGCAGGATCGGAAAGAGGAGGTGATGCTGAGGCTTCATAAGCTCCGGGAAGCGGTGGCAGAATCTGCCTGGAAGCTTAGAGAGATCGAGTTTACGCAGCTGCGCCCCGTGGAGGAGTGCCTAACAGACTGGGCAGGGCTCTGCGCGGGCTTGTCTCACTTGCGCGGTGAGATAGAGGGTATGTCCCCCGCCTCGGCTGTGGCCGTTGTTGTTGTGGGGCTCAAGGCTGTGCGCGTCCTGAACCGCGTCATTGACACAGCGCTGAAGGAGCTGCTCATGCAGCAGAGCCTGTTGTCTGGTGGGCTCTTCCTCTTTTCAGCGGGGTCTGGCTGGGCGATTGTCTATGGCTACTGGGGGACGATTACCAAGCATCTAAGAATCCGCAATGGCAATGGCAACTTGGAGGAAGGTGCGGAGTGGGTGGTCCAGCTGATTCGGAATCTCAAGAGGCTTCCTGCCTTCTTCTGGTATTCGAGCATGTTCTCCTGCCTTGTGTCACTGCAGATGGGTCAGATGTTAGGACAATGGTCCTTGCGGCGCATCGCGCGGTCTTCTGCCGGGACCAGACTGCTCCAAATCCTGGGAATAGCCATGTTCGTATCTGCAGCCTGCTTTAACAGGCGAACAGAGGAAACCGTCATGGAGGCATCCCCTCATGCAGAAGGTGAAAAACCACAGCCAGGCACCCCATGTGTCCAGCCGAGCCCATTGCACTTTAGAAAGGTGTAGGACCTTTGTCGGACCTGGACGCGAGGGCCGGCTTTGCAGACTGGTGCAGTCGGGCCGTTTTCCCTGTCTCCAAAGACGCCCTACACCAGTAGAGTCGAGCACCTGTGTGTCTGGCCAGGTCAAAGGAAACCGGACGAGTGCCAGCTTCAGCCGGAAAAGAAGGGAGCCGGCATAGCCAAGGCAAGGCATCAGCAGGTTTCCGACGTCTACATATTTCTATTGTCTGCGTTTGTGTTCTTTCAATTTTTCAGGACTCTTCATTTTTTTGTATTCGGTCTTCAGACTAGATCTGGAGTCTGTAGATGGCCTGGCTGCTCAGAGTTTTGCCGTTGCGCATTCCAGATTTGGCAGGCAAGAGCATGAAATCCTTTTTTTGAACTTGCCCTCGAAGTAAACCTCCTCTTAAATTCTATTAAATGCAGATCTAATCAGAGGGGACTTCTATGCCAACCATCAGACTGGTCAGACCCGGGTGGAATCCTGACTGCGGAGCTATCCGCTTTGCGGCATCAACTCGGATGCCTCAACAAATCCAGAAGAGGTATTCCCCAAAAACAGCATCGGGTGTTAGGCATTGTATAGGTTCGTTGGATTCTATGACTGCGGATTCCTCGAATTCCTCAAAACTGGGTCGCTTGAAGTTGCCGAGGTTTGGGTGGAGCCATCGTCAATGGCGCAAGGCTGGGCATGGGATACTGAGCCTCCCAGCTGGTTTAGCTGAAATCCACTAGCTTCAGAATGGCAGAGTCCAGAAATGAGAAAGTGTGCCAAGGACCTAAGGTTGAATAGCAGAGTTCTAAGCCTTTTGATTGAAATTTTGGTCTTCGGTAGAAGCGATATGCCCAGCAGCATGGGACAGACCCAGGCGCATCTCTTTTCTGTAGGCTCCAAGTCCGTACATACCTGGACCGCATTTGGAGCCATTGTTGCAATCCTGGCTCAGCGCACTCTCCTGTGCTCGGTGAGATCTAGGGCATCATTTCCTGCTTAAAAGTATGGGCAATGGCCTCTGCGCTTCGCAAGTTGATGTGGTCGACTGGCAGCCCGTTCATGACAGCTTCTTCCCCATGTACGTCGTCAAGGCAGCATTCTTCCTGCCAGAATTTGCTTGTCAGCTCATACCATTTGACTTCCTAACGCTTGAGTTAGAGTTGTCTGGTAATTCAGAGGCGGTGGAGGTGTGGGCTTTGGGTGCTCAGAGGACTTGCCACTGCCTTGCACATCTCTTTACCATATGTCTCTTATGGAAAAAGGTTTCGGTCAGCCTGTTGGGTCAGGAACCTACCTATGCAGCCATGTCCTGTCTCCACCTGTCTGAAACCAGCTTCTACATGGTGAAAGCAAGGGTACAACAGCTTGAGCTCCCTGTTGATTTTTGCTAGACCTCGGCGTGGGCATGCGAACAAGCCATTTAATGCTTTGCTCGGTTTGAGCTGGAAGCGGCGTCTACATGGGGACTAGCGCTTTCTGATGTACAATTCCCGGCTGAAGTGTATTCTTTGCCAACCCTGCATCGCAGTAGATGACGTGATTTCTCACTGAGTGTGGCGAGTTGACCCCACCTCCCAGGTGCTTAATCACTGTGGGCTGAAAGCTTTGTGCCCTTAAGGTGTCCGACTTCTTGGACATGGATGGTGTGCCCGAGCCGCATAGTGTGCTTCTGTCAAAAGGCCTTCTGCACCAGTGGCATCCTGGCATGTTCGTCCTTTTTGTCTCGCACCAATGGCTTGGTGCCACACATCCCGACCCGCAAGGGCAGCAGGTTGCTATTCTGCGACACGCGCTGCATGGCATGATCTCTGGATCTCTGCAAGTGGAGGAAGACCTCATCTCAATGCCAATGGGGAAGGTGCTCACGCCGCAGCATCGCAAGCAGATCGCATCTGGATATTTGTTTCTGGATTGGTTTGCTATCCCACAAATCACAGCCAGGCAAGCCGGTATCAATGAACAGACGACAAAAACAGATGCCGCACTTGCTGTGAAGAGTATACCTTCCTATGTGGAGGTCTCAAATCTCTTTGTGGCCTTGGTGCCAGAGCTGATTCACAAAGACACGAAGATACTGTGCAACTATACCTCCTGGCTCTCCAGGCATGAGCATGTCGAATAAAATGGCCTTGCTGGATGAGCTTAGGACTGCATGGTCAGGAGACCATGGCCACATAAGGAACAACTCACGTAAAGCCTTCCTAGTCCTGTGTACAGTATCTACAGCCAAAACGCTAAATCCTCATTACTTTCTGTTGCTTGCTTGTGGTAGGAATGCTGAAGCTAGCTAGCATGGCAACCTGCCGAGGGGGTGGTGTCGGGCAGAATGGTGGTGCCACCTACTGTCCAACAAGCCGGATACCAGCGTGATCGTTGTTTATTCTCCACGGGAGGCAGAATTCATGTTCCCGCTGAATTGGCAGCAGCACATCGTTGCGGAAGGAAACTTCACAGTTGAAAGTGGCTTGGTTCAGGTGCACGAAGTCAGCCGTGGCCATCGTTTCAGATTTGGATAGTTGTAGAACTCATGTCATATGGGAGCCCCAAAACCAGAAGGCTTGAGCATGCATGAAGAGAACATGGTACGCATTTAGGATCATTTCGCAACTTCTGCGTGCCTTGCGTAGTGTGAAAGGAAGGTAGGGAGGCCCGTAGGCCTAGGACGATTTCTACATGTGTCCAGTGTGAAACTCGACATGCAGTTGAAGAGCTTTGAGAGGGACTGTCATGGATCCCAAGGGTCATCGGAGGTTCTTTGGAGATTCTAGTGGTGATACATGGATGCTGTACGCCTTCTGCAGATTAGTACCATAGATTGGATTGAAGAGCAAATCAGTAAATCCTTCTCTACCCTAAGTACAGAACCCTACTACTTGGAGGGGAATTGCAGCAGTTGCTTTTGTGGATTTCCCTCTGCCGCCTTGAAAACGAGGTGACCGTGAGACGGTGGTGAAGCTTGGGGAGGTTGCTCTGGACAGCAAAATCAACCACCTGTCGAATGCAGGGCCCATGAGCTTGTATCGTCCTTTGGCCTGCCAGCAGAACTGATGTTAACCATTTTTAAGAGCATTCGGCAGTGCGGCAGTTGTTGACAAGGATATGTTGTTAGACATAATGTGGGTTCATGTTCATGTTTGACTGGATCAGGGCCTGATTTTTTTGAAGTCGGTCTGTTGTTTTTTTTGCAGAGACGCATTGTCATACTATGCTACACACCCAGCATCCACCCCGCAAAAAATGCGGCATTCACGTCAGGGGGGCAAGTTAATAAGGATTCATTTTTAGACGTGACACGGGTTCTTTCTGAACAATACGCAGGGCGGTTCGGCACGTTTAAGCATGATACGGGTTCAGAAAATTCATGTCTAGACATGTGCACACGGTCACGCTCTCCTCCTGATGGCGGTCAACCTGTTCATCGTTCTGGTGATGGGTCTTTGAAGACTCTCAACCGGGTGGTGGACATGTTGATCAGCCTCTCGGAGTGCACAGGCCCTGTGTTGCAAGTTGGAGCGGAGAAGTCTGATGAGCAGTTGCAGCAAAGAAATGTAGGGATTACTAAGTTGCCATTGTATGCATTGTCGGAGTGCAAGCAAAAGTGTTATGCAGATGTCTGATGTTCCGCACGAAGAGGGAACATCATCGCAATTGCAAGTGTGAGTGAGTGGTTGTGCAATTCATGAGGCTTAAGCGCGTCTCTCCTGTTGTGCATAGATGGGAGTATCTTTGACGCACTTGTGAGTTGATAGTACCATTTCGAGGCCCATGGTCGTCACAGTCTTGCTGTTGTGTGCGTTGTTCGATGCATTGTGTTCTTTTGGCACATGTGGAGGACGCGGTGCCCTGACAAGACATCTCTCAGACTTAGCGTCAGGCCCTTATTCTGCATGCTGTGACCTGCTCTCTGCCGCTCGACCAGCAGGCGTGTGCTTGCCGGATGCCTGAGCGTATAAAGCCGCCCTCGCCACCTTGCTTGCAGAGGATCGTCGGCATGCCATCGCCCAGCACATCCTGGATTGCCATCCTGAGCACACCCCTCGCTCACTTGCGGACCTACGTCAGAAGGTCCACAAAAACCTCTTGTTGCCAAACAGCATAGAGACAAGTTTGCCAAAATCAGGAAGAACCGCGGCAAACTCACAGGCTCGTGCGCACTGTTCCTTTTGAGAAGAAAAGCAAGGGTCTTCGGTCTGATTTGCTTTATTGTAAAGTGTGCTCATGCCCGTGCAACAGCCAAGGTACCGGTGGCAGAACGCGCAAACAAAGGCGTGAGGACTTGAAGAACCCTTACACTGTCGCCAGCCAAGCGCCGTGGTGGAAAAGGCTGAAGCGAGACGAGCTGCAGCACCCAGCGAGCTATCCCAGATCCATGCGGTGCGGTGCGAATGCAGGACGTGCCTGAAAGATGTGCCTCCGGCAAAGTGCATGCTTTTGTGCCTGCCAGCCCTGAATGTGCTTGGATACCCGACCTCACAATGTGCGGTGGTATCCTAGGCCAACAAATTTTTCTTGCGGGAAAACTTGGCGTGTCAATGTCGGCCGGGGTGCTTGCTCATGGGAAGTCTTTGAACTAGCCCACAAAATTGAAATTGAAACTCTTGCAATACGTGAGGATGGCCAGAGAAATGGTGAGCGAGATGCACTTGTTCGCCATGTCGAAAAATCACCGTACCGCTTCTACCATGCCCCTCATTGTTCACTTCGTTCTGTTCAGGTGGGGTGGACTCCATGTCTTGCGATGATCGCCAGCCTGTAACCGCCTCAGTTGAAGGTAAGTACAGCTGCTTCACTTGTGTATCAGACCCCCAATGGTTTAAAAATGCCGCCCGCGCAGCACTTGGCTGAGGTCTTTGTGCTTGCACTTGCAGTTTGTGCTTGCACCTGCAGGTTCCACGCTCGCATGTGTAGGTGACCATGATGACGTCCCCAACAAAGTTGCCATCCTCGCGCAGGGTGCTTCCCCCACTTGCATGCAGTATGTGCCTCTGGTGACACAGTTGTTCCTCTGAATCTACGTCAGCCTTGAAGTAAGCGCTGCCCCGAATAACTTGTAAATCAATGAAGAGCTATCTACGGCTTAGGCCATGTAAGAATCTTCTCCATGTGTACAGCTGTGCTTCTCTGATTTCCAGAGCAGCCGAGCAAGCAAGCCTCCCAAAATCTTAGCCTTGTCAAGGTGAACTTTTGAATTTTAAACAAGCTTGCATTTAACGGCTACTCGGCATGTTTTGTAAACCAATCAACGCCTATTTTAAATCGAGTAGGATCCCATTAAAAGTCGCTCATTGTTCTTTAGGGAGGGCTTGGGGATAGTTCCTATTTGAGTTCAATGGGTTTTTGGCCTAAAAGCGCCTCTGCCTTTAGACTTGTCTTCAACTCCAAATTTGCCACCACAAATTTTCTTCAAATCTACGGAGTTCTCGTACTCGGGGACATGAATGGACTACTTGCGGATTTTTCGATTTTTTTTGGGAATTTTGGGGTTTTCTAGTTGTCACTACAGTGGGGATTTTATGATTGCAGGGGTGTTTGTGAAGACTTTTCAACATTTCTGGGAGCGGTTCTTGAGAATTTTTCCTTTGCTTTGATGATCACATATCGTTGAAATACGTGATATTCTTAAGGTTACTTTTGCTTTGGAATAGTAGTTTTTTGACATGCCCTGAAGCGCAAAAGCTGCAGCCAAGGATACTATTTGGCGCATCGACCAAAGTTGTTGGGCCAACAGAAGCAAACGTTTGACGTGGACGACCTCCTGCAATTGTTTCGCTATGAAAGTCTACAGGTGCTGGAGGTTTGGAAATCAGTAGTATGTCAGACGTGAATCGTTTTCAACACCAGCACATTGGGGATATGTGTTGGGGCTATTTGTGGGGCCAATGAAACGGTGGGGAGGAGGGGGGAGTTTTTCCCTTTGTCGGACGTGTGCGCGACCAGATCATGGCACCCTTGTTAGGCAACGGCAATCGTAAATATCTGGGTGCTTGTGCATTACTTTTTATCGGCAGTGCAAAGTACCATGTCATGTTGTTTTTTACTGAGAGCACTGCGCTAGAGATCTGGGTTTATTTTGAAGCGCTCATATGGTGCCAAGTGCTACGCAAATTTGCTTGAATCAACGGTTTGTTTGAGCCCTGAGGATGCGGTTAACGACGACAGCAATGTGAACGCACTTTTATGTGCCATCTTCGCAGGGGATGTTGGAATGGTAAAGCTGCTAGTGGAGAACAAGGCAGACGTGAACCGTAGACTGTCAGGCCTGAATTCGCTGGGCTATTCCGACAGTCAGACATTGCTTATGGCAGCCATCAAATCTCGCCAGGAGCCGGAGATGTTAAGAGCTCTGATTGAGCTTCGCGCCGACGTGCATGCCATCACACGGGTTGGCCTGGGTTGCTCATACTTGGTGAGAACTCCAGGGCAGCTTGAGGTGCTGATTGAAGCCAGCGCTGATTTGCATACTTCTAATTTGCCCATGGGTTTGAGCCCGCTGTGTGGGGCTGCAGTCTGGTCTTGCCCGCAGACGGTTGCTGCGATGCTGCGCGCTCGGTGTGACCCTAATCCTCACCCAACTGGAGCAGGCTACTTCCCACTTCATGCTGTCGCACTGCTATCGCGTGGCCGGGCATGTGCTGCGGATGTTGCTCGCGTACTCCTGGAGGGTCGCGCGGATCCCAACGGCAAAGCAATGCCAGAAAACAAGTTTTTGTTTGCAGCTCGACTGGCCGGAGTATACTCGAAGATTTGCGGTTTCGCCTCTTGCTCAATTGCCACAAAGACTTTGGCAAGCTTACCAGGCCTGACCCCGCTTGGCGCCGCTGCATTGGTTGGGGATGAAGCGCTGTCGAAGGTATACCTGGAGTATGGTGCAGACAATGTGGCTAATGAAAGGGGCGACTTGCCAGAAGATCTGGCTTTCGCCAATGCGCATGAGCACCTACTGCCCATGCTGTCAACGTTTGCTGTCTAGCGTCGGATGAAGCATGTGGCTCCGGGCGGCAAATGTCGCTCCTATGAGCCCAAAGCTGCAAGAGAAAGCCTGAGGACCTGCCAAAGATCTGCGAGACCTGAAAGTTTTGGTTCGCCCCTTGCAGCGTGCCATGACCTCTGCAATGCCTGAGGGAGACATGTGTCCTGGCGGAAGTCATCTGTGGTGGTCCTGGGATTGTTTGGGCCTGCATGCTCGCAGGCGGAGCGACCGCCTCTGATGCCGACACTTCCAGCCTGGAACCCAGACGAGAGATGATGAGAGATTTGATGTGAAGTCTGCTATGTTGAAAGATTGAAAGAGAAATATCCCGAGCCAAGCATGTACAGGCAAGTCGTCAGATGCTTCTGCAGCAGCAGCAAATGAGACAAGCTTGCATCTCAGCTTTCGGATCAGGCCTTCTAGCATCCAAGGTACTCAGCCTCGGGAATCAGTATGGATCTAGATCTAGCGGATGCGTCAACGTGTGCCGTTCAGGCATTTGTTGAGAGGGAATGGTGCATACGTTGAGGATAGCAACATTCTATTCTTATCCCATTCTCTTTTGTGTGGCTGAAGGCGCAGCAGCCTCCTCTAGTGCTGACACTTCCAGCGTGGGACTCGGTTGACATGATTTGACATGTGCAGCCTCACTTCCACGAGCTTGTTGGCCTGTATGATCCTGTATGTCTATGAGAGCGCACGTGCCAACTCCACGGCAATGTTCTTTCCATTGTTGCTGTCAGAATGAGGCCCAAAGGTCTTAATCAATCAGTCTCGAGCCATGCATTGTGGAGGCAAGTCTTCAGATGCTTCAGCAACAGCAACAAATGCGACGAGCTTGCATCTCAGTCAGAAGTGACAAGCGCGTGAGTTGTGATCCATCTGCCAGTATCTAGCTCAAGCAGTGGCATTTGGACTGCATGTGGCCAAGGTGCCTCAAACTCAAGCGCAAGTAGCCAGCCCCCTGGCGATGGTCTCAGCATTAAGGCAGAACCAGCGAGTGGTGGCCTGGCTATGAGACCAGGGTTCGATTAGCTGGGGGTGGAAGTCTTTCCATGCAGGCCAGGCAGCTTCCCTGAAATAGCAAATACCAATGATATTCGCGGTCAAAATGGCATTTCTTCTCATGTCTTCTATTGCCAAACCAGCTGCAAAAAGCATGTGAAGCGCGGTTCTGTAGAGTAGACGCGCTTTCCAGCGTGGTGATAGCGTATGTGTGCTGGCAGAATCTTTCATTACACCAGACCTGTGAAACTCTCGGACCCACTCACTGCCGCCCAGGCGGTAAGCAATCCGCTCAGCTCTAGTCCGTGGCTGAGTGAATGATGTCTTGGGAGAAGGACTCAGGATGCCTTCACCTCCCTGGATGATAAGATCCCACACCCTCTGGTAATGAATATCTCATACATCATACTGCCATGATGCGTTCGGAGAGCTTTCGTCATGAGGGTGGTGGTGGCTTTCACAAGTGGGGGAATTGTATTGAGACGGTGGCAAGTGATGTTTGCTGGTTAGGTTTCAGAGGGTTTGGGGCCAACATTTTATGCACAAGAAGTCCGGGTTTAATCAGAATTCGTTGCGTGTTAGCATCCGGAGCAGCCGACGAACCAGTTGTTTACACGATGTCCTAGGATGTCCTAAATGTACATGCCTGTGTGTTTTTTTGCTTTCATTGCGAAGGTGTCAACTATGGAAAAACATGGAAAGACGATCTTCCCAACGTGTAATGCCACATTGGAGCGCTTCTAGAAGCAAGTCATGGACAAGCCTTGTGAAACCTGCAAAGCTCTGTAGAGCGAAAGAGGCAGACGCAGGCATTGCATCCAACAAAGACAGATCTAGTTTCGTCTGCCGCTTCTGTGAGAAGTTCCTGATTTCCGAAGTGTTCCACCAGCCATCCTAAATAGATAGAGACCCCCATCATCACTTTGCAATCCCCGCATGCCTTGTGCAGAATGCTCGAATTATGCTACTGCCCCTGAGATACTAATCACGCGGAATTTCCCCAAAGCACCTCAACTCGCCCATAGTCAGCTGTCGCTCGCCAGCAACTTAAGAAAACAACATCAGAGAAAAAGCGCATGCATGGGTACTTGGCTTCTGGCATGAACATGTGCATTGGAGTTTTCGGGCACTGAGGGCACAAGGGATGTCTTGAGAAGCCAATGCAGGACCAAATATTTCAGGGCTTACCTCGGTGGGGATGGTTTAATGGAGTACTTCTTTAGGAGTCATGGTCAGATGTCAGCAGCTCCGAGGGGAGATTCAGCGAACTGAGAGATCGCGGGTCCTAAGCTCTTTTGTAGGCCCAACGATGGAATGGAGACCCCAACAAATGCTACGAAGGCCTCTGGCTTGTAGGGAACAGGCCCAGGTGTGCCTAGGACCTGGGATGCAGCAGGAACCAGCATTATGTGAGCTATAGTCTAAACTCCTGAAAAGTGGGTTATATAGGGGATTATATAGGGGACTACTATAGGGGTTATTAAGGGGGATACTAGGAGTTTAGACAATGGCTCATGTGGAAGCCGGATTTCCGGAAAAAGGCGCGCAATTCGGTTCTTGCCCTCGTGATGGCGAACTCATGCAGACATAGATTTCAATGTCCTGCGTTTTGGGAACAGTCATTTAGGCCATGTCCTACGTGAGCTAATTGATCATAGTCTAAACTCCTTAGAGGGGGTTTTATACAGGGATTCTACAGGGGACTACTATAGGGGTTATTATGGGGGATACAACGAGTTCAGACTATGGCTCATATAACCCCTAAACCCTAAACCCTAAGCCTTAAGGGGGATACTAGGAGTTTGGACAAGGGCTCATGCAGAGGGGCCGGCAGCGCGGGCAGCAGTCTGGCCTATCCATGCTTCTGCCACATCCGAGCACCAGAAGGCCCTTAAGGTAGTTCCCATAGACAGGGGACCCCAGAAGACCCTCAAATGCAACAAACTTTTACAGCGGGACCCAAGAAGGTGCACCTAATTTTGGGACCTCCGCCGTAACTCCTTAGCCAACCCAAACCTCACTCACACGCATTGTACCCAGCACAATCTCTAAAGTCCGTGTCGTGGTGAGTGTAGTGGATAAAGTTGTTGTTGGGGTCGATACAAGAAGCAAACTCTGAAAGGCAACTGTCTACATTCGAGTTGGGTACTTCTCCAAAAGTTGGGCCGCTAGTACCTCAATCAAGAATGAGATCTTTAAGCATTGCAAGCGCCTTTGCAATCCCTAAAGAAAGCAACAGCAGCAACAACAAACTCAAATCCTTCAAAAATGACAAACAGTACATAATAATGTGAGCCGCCAGTAGTCCATTAGAGAGTGTGCCACTCCTTTGAGCGGTCTTTCCATCCGGCGCCATGGCCCCGGGTCCGCCCAAAGCGCTGAAGTCGCTGAATGCAGCGGCCCGGCAAGTGGGATGGTTCTTCTGAAGTTTCTGCCTTTTGTGACTGTTCATGGGGATAGTATATGAGGTATTTAGGAAGCAGAGATGGGCAAGGGCTTGATGGGGACAGTGTAGCGGCACCATGGAAAATGAGGTAAACAATTATACAATGTCATTACAACAAGTTGCTATCACGACAAGGAATGCATACGCACAAGAGGTGTTTGCATACGTACGACAGGTTTGCACCCTTTCATGGGCACCGTGGTCTCGTCATCCCGCCTCCCCAAGACCCGTTGATTGCGAGAAAATGTAAGCCTGGAGCCCGGTGTGCTGAGGCCATCGATTTGGTTTGGAAGGCAAAGACCTATTGTGCGAGTTGAGCGTCTGGAAAGATTGGGGGCTGAGGGGGGATGAGATCCAGGTAGACCATTCATATCATTGTAATCTGTGTCACGCGACAGGATCCTGCCCGCAAGGATTACGCGCTGAAGGCTGTAGCAGTGCCGGGGAGCTCGGCTTTGCTTTCAGCACAGGAATCTGATCTGTTTTTTTTTGGGTTTGAGGTTGGTTTGGCAAGGGGAAGACGGATCAGATCCGAATAAAGAGCAAGGTTATGTTATCCCAAAATCCTAAACCCTTATCCTAAGCCTGTACCCTTGTAGAAGCATCTTAGAGCCAAGATGGCTTGCTCTGAAAGATCCCTCAGAAGAGATCCCTCAAACGTTTTGGAACGGCGATGCGTGCAGAAGCAGAGCAAACAACCCTGTAGACAAGGCTGCCCCAAAGCCTAATCCTCCGAAAGGCACGGCCGAGCCTTGCAGTTCTTGTCCTTGGACTTGAGGGCAGACAAAGAGGCCTCGTGGAAGTGGGGAGTGGGATGACCGTGTCCAGGGCCGGGACCGCAGGGTTCAGGATGTGGGGGTGCCTTAAGTTGAGCGTGCTTGTAGCCAGGATCTTAGGGTCTGGAGCTACCGGAACAATGATTCCCGCACAGGCCCCAAACCTGGAACCTGCAGGACTACAATGCTAGGTTGTAGCGTGTCAGACATCAGACAGGTGTGAATGAAGGTCCTCTGAATCAAGCTTTCAAGCAGATCCGGATTCTTGTAGGTCGTCTTGAAAGCTCTGAAGAACGACGGCTGGGCCCTTCAGTGGGCCTCCGAGGACCTTGAAGTATAACTTGAAGTACCCACAAGGGGGGTTTTGTCTTGAAGTCGTTTGGGCAGGTGAAGATACTTGCAAGTTGTTATTTCAGCGTGTAGAAAGGACATGAAAAGATGCCTACCGAGCGCAGTAGGTTCATGTTTTCATCTCGGCTATATATATCCCTCTGCTGGTTTGCTGGCGTTATATCTGCTTGCCCATTGTCTCGCAGTGTTGGCTTGCACATAGCAAGAGACGTTTCCTTCAGGAGCTTCGGAAAGACAAAGATGTGATCTTCAAGGCTGCTTACGTAAAGCTTCCTCATATTGTCACACTGTTGTGTTCTTTTGACGAGATAGCAGAAGCTTGTGGGTTGGCCAAGATATAGGTCGAATTCCAAAATGAAGGCAAAGCGAATTCAGCAGGAATCTGTGAGCGCACTGGTACTCAGGAGCATGCCAACCCGCCCAAACGTACCCTCGCGCTGCAAATGCAAAGAAGGGATCCCTTTGAATCAAGAGGGTAATCAAATCGAGCCGGCTACCTCTTGAAGTACTCCGCAAAGTCCGAGCTCTTCAATCGAATCACGTTCTCAAGATCAGGTCCCGATGGATGTTTTGGAGGGAGCCCCGCGCCCAAATCCTACTGCATCAAAAGTCCTGTAATCCTTGCGTTTTTCTTTCTACCCAAGCCCTAACCTTTCAACCCTAGCATGTATTCCTAGAAATCTCAGTCATCCTGCCTGGCAGGCCATGAAGAGGGAGGTGCGCTCCCTTCAATTTGTGCCGGAGGAGCTGATACTGCTCCCTTCCCTCTTGTAACGAGACCCCTCAACCCCTCTGAAATCAATCGTATTGTATGGCAACATTTGGGAGGTAGTGGTCCATTATTGGGGGAGGTGATGAGCAGGTAGCATGGTCTACGTGCAGCTTTCTGTTGCAAAGAAAACTCTGTGAGAGATCCTATGCTCCTCTCTTGGTTCGCCAGAGTACACGAAGATGCTGAGACAGTATAGAATGACATGAGTGACTGAACGGTAGCATCCCCTGCCTTACATTGGAAGACAAGATAGGCTTGTTGCACAAGCATACAACTTCTTGGAAGCGAAGTCTTGGCCTACGAATAAATGCTGTAGTAATTATGCCTCTGAGCAGCACTCTGGACTCATGCGGTATTGACAGTTGATAGAACCCTCAAAGAGGCCACCAGTAGGCCCCATGCTTTGGACCAGCCAGTTTTCCAAATTTAGCAGGCAGACCTTAAAGGCGCTCGCTCCTCACAAACCCTGCTCAGTTGTGCAGCAAGCTTGCCATGGTACAGGTACAAGTAGCGCCCTCCCTGAACCCCAAGACAAAACAGTAATTTTTTTAGAGCTGAGAGGAAAATGAGCCTGCTCCCAAACACAGGAGCTACTCGCAGACCGGGACTTCTGCCTCGAGGCTATCTCAAAGAATGGGCTTGTGCCTAAGAACGGCTGCTGGCTGATCAGACCTGTCCCGTGTCTGCTTTTAGGAGGGAAACTTGCAGTTTTTATATGCACCTTGCATTCTGTCAGCCCAAGCCGAAGCTGATGCCTGAAGCCAGAGAACCTCCAAAATCATGCCAGCCTGCTGAGATGCAGGTATGGGAGTTGGCAAGAGACACCCCACATAGTGCTTTTGAGAACTCCTTGCATTTATCCTGGCCACTTACGTTTCATTCTCTTCATTGTTCTTGGTGTTACAAGTAGCAGTGATTTCAATGTCCTAGCTTTCAACAATTTAGGAGGGCCGTTCTAAACATTATGGCCTCCTACATGAGGAGTGTGTTATCTGTGTCGGGGCTGGTGCATTTGAGATGCGATTGTCGAGGGGTGAGTATAGAACAGTTGATCGACCGGAGCAGCACAATCTGTGCCGTGGGCGTCGTTGAAAGTTGCTGCGGGCCGCAAGCGAAGTTCAAGGAAGGCCCTTCTCCAGCAAGTATCGAAGAGAGTTGTACCGCAAGCCTCAAGGAGGAGCATCAGGATTCTGTTTGTGGTGTTGCACCTTCCGCAGAGGCTTTATCACGATCCACAGCCGGGGTTGACGAGGAGATACGAGGAGCAGCAGGACTTCGTGCTCGTGAAGAAGGACACCTTCCTGACATACACGTTTGCAGGGCCGCCGCACGGAGCCTGGCAAAGCTCGCCCAGCGAAAAGGTGGTCAGCAGCGGCACGCGCGGCCAGAGCTGCTGATCCGGGAACGTGACTATGTGAAGCCTCAGAAGTGCGGGAGTGCTGCGGCCGATAATCCCTCGAGCCACCGCCGTCCGTGCGGCAAATCGTACGATTGCGGCATATTGCGGCTCATGCGTGCCGTCCGTGGAGCAGCGGGCACATCACATTGGGGCCGTTTCCATGAAATTCCATGAAGCACGCGCAGGGCGTAACCACAAGCTGTGGAAGTGCTTTGTACAAAGGATGCACGATGCCCCACTACCGTTGACATGCCCAGCGCCTGCGCAGTTCGGAGGCTCGAGCAGTACTTGGGGTTGCCTTTTCACGCAGTATCACCTGTTCTTGCCGACTCTGGAAGCAACAGGAGGCAGTCCGGCATAAACGGTGCCACGTCGCCGAAGCGATGCAGCCGCTCCTGACACAAGTCAGCGAACAACGGCTGGTTAGTTGAGTGGGGGTCCGCAACGAATCTGCAAAAGATTGTCCCCACAGCACGCGGGGGGTCCCGAGGCTGGCTTACGAGTTCGTGGACCCGGAGATCAAAGCTGACCGGGATGTCGCTTGGGCTGGTTGAGTTAGACGTTGACTGACGGTGTGTGTGGAAGTTCGACAGCTTGTGAAGTTCCAATTGTATGTGATCCTTGTATTGGGAGCGACCCCTTTTTCGGGATTTTTGTTTGACAGCAGGTGTTGGGCACAGGTCGTCGTGGATTTGTTACCACAAATCCAGTTTTTACATCTAAATTCAACAGCTTGTTTTCGGCGTTCCTGCTCAGTGTAGACGCAGGGCTATGCTAATATCATGTGTCTTCTTGCTTGGCAGAGTTGCTTCCATGCTTTATTATCCCCAAGAATGGAGGAGATATGTAGGAGTTATAGGGTCATAAAGTGGCATAGTATTCCAACAAAAGAACAGCAGATGGAAAAAACATGGAAGATAAACTGGAAACTGGCTGAATCCTTTTACGTGACCGTTGATCGAAACCTTAAACGCCAAATAATAGTTTCCATTTTCTTTTCCAGTATCCTTGTATAGCCCGATGTAATCCTTAGAAATCTCATTTCTGGCCCCTATCGAATCCCGTTATAACCTTCCATACATATGTACACTCATATAATACCCTATACATCCGTTGGTGGCCCGAACGACTGCGAGTGGGCCAGGTCGCCCGTGCTGCTGTCAGCCAGGCTCGGTTTTGCCCCAAAAGATATGTGGCTCAAATAACTCCATGTTGCTTACAGTATAAAGATCATAGAGATGGCTATTGGGGCTTCTATAGGGACGATTCATTCCGTCATTCCCTGCTGAGTATCAAGGACATAAAACATTGGACATTGCACAAGCTGTGCTGAGCTGTAGAGATCTTTTGCATCGATCTTTTGCACGGGCTTCAGTATCAAGGGCAGTTGAAATTTGGTTGCACTTTCCGTGCGCTGGATGCAGGGATTAAGTTTTTCGTATTCTCGCATGACATATGACTCGTGGACGTAGAGAGCTCTGCTGGTTGAAGACTTGAACCACATTGATCTCTCGTTGCTCTTCGGCTTGGACGCGCATATGAGGATGGGCTGGCCCTGGAGTTTGTTTCCGATGAGTTTCAGTCGGATCATGACTTGGCCCCTTGGTTGCGCTTCTGGAAGCGATTCTTGCAGTGAGCAACCTGTAAAGAGGACGTTGCACACGCAAGGTTCTCAGTGCCGTGCAGAACTGTGGCATGGCACTTCGATTTGCTGCACCGGACCTTCGGGGGAACAAGGGCTTGGCGGGGCACCTGGAAGATGGTTTGCCAGGGCATGTGTCCATAGAGTGCCACGGCTTGCCCTTGCAGGCTTTTCAGTATGCTAACTTAGCTTCAGATAAGCAATCATTGCCCAGATGCCACAGGTTGTCAAGGTCAAACCAGTTGTGAGGTCCTGGCTGCGGCGAAGCAAGACAGCTCGGCGATAAAGTTCGCCTCGCAGGCCAGCTGAGAACCCAGTGGGGTTTTCCCACACGCTTGTTCCTAGCTGTGAACTCGCACCTGCTTCCTGCGTTGCGCACGCTCGCAGACAACTGGCAGGAAATGCAGCAGGAGCGCGACGTGTGGTTGCAGGCTCCAGCCCTTGACATTTACCCTAGCCGTGACAAGGGAAAGCACAAATTCACTCAGACCTAGAGTGTTGCAGTTTTGATAGTACCAAGTATTGTAACACAAAAGTGTTGCATGAGGCCTGCCCAAGCCGACAAGCTCACTGGCTGAGCCGAGAGGAGGTCTTGCAGGAAGTGGACAAAGAGGCCGGGCTGCCAGGCAGCATCAGGATTTCGGAGGATTTATTGGCTTTGGGCTGCAAGGGCTCCTTGGTCCAGCTCGCCAACCAGCGCTTGGTCAGCGAGCCGGAGGCACGCTGACAGTGTTCAAATGAGCCTGAGCTTTGGATCCTTTCGACGACAGGTGATGTTCAAGGCGGCTGTTGGAGTCTTATTAGCCTGTAACGGCCACAACCCATTTAAGCAGACTTAAAGAAGTCAGTCACCTGAGGCCCAGAACCACTCTGCAGCGGAGCATGGCACCGAACTCCTCGCAAATGCGGAATTCCTGCTGCGTCTTGTGAAGCAGGCTGGTTGTTGTTGTTGGTCCAGAACGATTTGAGTGCAGATCAAATATCTTGGTCAGGATGCGCGCGTCCTCATGCATGCTGCGGATGAGATTCGAGCTGACCGCGAGGCAGGGTGAGTGGAGAATTCCCTAATTACTTGGTGTTGAAGCAAAACTTCCGTGGCTTGGGCTTTTGAGCTGCCAAGCTGATGGGCCGAGGACAACGGCTTTCGCTTGGTTTTCTTCCTGCCCTTGTCGGTGTCAGGTAGCTCTTCAGGCCGCGGAAATCGATGGCAACGTGCTCGAGTTCTTTACGCAGGACTGCCTCATCCTGCGGACAGCACCGCGAAGCCTTGACGGGAGAGAAGGGTCATGCCAGGAGCTTTGTGAGGACAAGGAGGTGGCCCGAAGCCTAGTAGCAAAGGATGGCCCAGCTATGTCCCACATGTTATGAAACCTACCGCGCCACCTCCATTTCTGCCTGCCTGCCCACCTAACTGACAACCCTCATGAAAGAGCTCATGCATCGACCTTGGGCACGAAAATCACCACCAAAGCTGCTGCTAGTGATGCACTTCCTTCGACCAGGGCTATTGGCGATGTCATAGCCGGTCGCGCTCAGGTCCTCGCAGCAGTGCGGCGAACGGGCACGGCCCTGGCGTTTGCTTCCCCGGAGCTGCGCGCTGACCGCGAGGCTGGGAGGTTGCTTTGAGAAGAGTAGGAAGAAAGAGCCGAGCTTCAAAGCCCGAAACTCACCTCAACATTCTTGACCCCGCGTCCACACCCTGAACAATAAATGGCAAGGACGACTTAGCGGCGCCTGATAAGATGAGAAAGCTTTTTTGAATACCCCTTGTACATCATGTTCTTTTTTGCAGAGAGCTAAAAGCCTGTACTCATGAACCCCCCCCAAAATGCTTCAATCGGCTTATCATCCTTAAAACCCCAGTGTGCTGACCTTTAGCCCTAATTCCACAAAACACCGCTGAACACAAAACCCCTCAATAGCATGTCCTGCATCCGCGAAACAAACAGATGTCCTTGTACAGTCCCATAATGCACCCCCCCCACCAGCCCCCCGCTCCCCCCCTTATGACATGTATGCTGAGCAAGCGCAAGCCCAAAACCACAAACCCTCAGCCAGTAGTATTCAATTGGGTCAAGGGCGAGCATGACTATGTTCTCCTCTTGGATGTACTACTTTGAAAGGACAGTAGGCTCAAAACAAAAGTATTTTCAATATCAAGAACGTGAAGAGAGAAAAGGGGACACATGCTTGCGCAAGGTACATTTCAGTATCCGTTCTTGGTACTGTTGGTTGTTATTAAGAAGCCTGCATGACCTTATGATACTGAATTCCCAGAAATCCCAAAGTTTCGGCTCCCAAGGTCATGCAGGATTTCAGTATCAACGCTATAAATCACTGTGATAATCCCAGTTTTCGTTTCATTTTCCATTTCTTTTCCATTTGATTCTCCGTATTTGTGGCTTTCTCAGGTAGTGCTGGCTGCCATGGGCCAGAGCCGGACGGCCCTCCTGTTTGCTGCGGAGGAGCTGCGCAAAGACAAGGCCTGGGCCGTCCTTTTTTTAAAGGGACTTCAACGCAAACCCCAAACAAAAAAAACCCAAGAACATAGTAGCAAAGCAGGGAGCATGTGGGCAGGCTTCGTGAAAGATGTTCTATGCATTCCTGCAGAGAGTCATTACAGCATTCCCTGAGTACGAGGAAGATGATGAGACTGAGACTCATTGCAACCAGAATTCGTGGTCAGCGCTTTAGAGGGTACCTTGCGATGGTAGCAGCATGTTATTTCTCTCATGCACGGACAACGGAACCAGGGGCTCGTTGAGTCGAGGGAGCTTGGGAGGTGTGGTGTTTTGGGATTAAGAGGCTAAGCTGACTTGAACGCTGGGAGGAGAGTTTGCTACGCTGCAAACTGAAGCCATTTGCTCTTGTGTGTTGAGGAACGTCTGTCTTGCTTCTTGCTTGCAGGCCATGTGGCTTTACAATGGAGAGGAGCCCCCGGTCTTCGACCCGCCGCCAGAGGATGTTGAGGAAGACCAGGCTCTGCAGTACCAGAGCTCGGGGAGCAGAATGCTGCACATGTGTGCAGACAGGAGAACCATCTGCAGCTTTCAATAGGCTGATCCATGAGATTTCAAGCCATCACCCAGACAGTTGAAGCGTGGAAGCTTGTTGAGGCTGTCGGTGCAGAGCCTGCAGACTCCGCAGAGCCAGCAGGCTCTGCAGAACCTGCGGCATCTGCGGATGCTGCCGAAGGCCCTGATGCGAAGCTTGCGGTGTCTCCGGAAGTTCCAGCTTCCTGAGAGCTGAAACTATCAGCGGTTTTTGCACTCCTCCTGTAGCACCATTCCACGCACAGAGCTGCCAAGTTCTATCCGAGCTTCTTGTAGGAAGGGGGAGTCATATCCTTGCTGCCGTTCTTTGTACAAAATTTGCATGCGTGGACAGTCTTCGCAGAGTTGAGGTTGGTTGGACCCATGCTTCCAAGTCTCTGACACTTGTTGCTCTGCATGTTGCACAGAAGACTGCCCATCGTGTTTCACTGCAACTGGCCATGAATTCCTTGGCTGGCGAAAAGAAGGACTAATCAGAGCACTTCTGCCTGGACTGCAAGGCGTAGAGAATTGGATGTTGCCTTCCTGGGCTCTGTTTCAGCTCAATTTATCGCCATGCGCCCAAAGCCGGCATCGCCATGGTGCCTCCCGGCAAGCTTTCTACTTGGGCCTTGCGTTTGTGGAGTTCGCGCACATGCATGTAGCATCTGCCTTGTCTGCGCAACAGCCCAAATCACCAGCCATTAGCTCATAGCTGATGTCTCGGGTGGACATTTCTTTCGCACTTGAAGCCGGAAATCCTGGAATCCTGGAAAATTATGGGGGGAAATCACCATGATGCTGACGCAAATTTAGCAGGCATGGATTACTCTGACAAAGCTCAAAACCTTGAAAACGCTAGGGGTGACAATCAACATCAATATCTCCAAGCCGATGTCCATCAGGCAGGTTAGGAAATTTCGGACCGTAGCTCATGCGCGATCTGCTTGCCAGGCATATGGGCTTCGGAAGATCACTGGAACCACCTACTGGCCATATGGCACCGGGCGGGACTGGTGGCAGTCTAAGCTCCTCTTGATTCTCCGTGCGTCAACCATTCTGCATCTAAAGAAAGCAACGCTGAGTTCAAGGGCAAAATCAATGCAGCCGTCGCTCTTGAAACAGTACTGGCTCGAGATGATGATGCTGATGCACGTGCTTCCATGACTGGAATAGAGAGTGGCTCTTTGTGCTGGTGCTGCCAGATGTTTCTGCACATCAGTGACATGGCTAGTACAAGTAGTGGTGTATCATTTCGGGCCCACGAGATGATATGCTTGACGTTCTCAAGGTTCTTTGTGGGAGACCTGGATTACATGCATGGCCGGCGTACGCCACAGGCCTCACACGCAGCAGACATTGATCCGCAAATCATCAAGGGTTTTGGGATGATGCCTTGACCAGTAGCCCTTGCCGATTAGGACATCTGGAGGGGTTTGTCCAGTCGCATCCTGCAACAGTCAGGGCATGAGAGATAGCCAGAGACGTGTAAACGAACAGAGGTCGTCGTCTCCATACTATACCTTAAACTCCAAGCGATCATCCCCACACTCCGGACCCTATTTAATCTCCAACACCTAATCCCAAGAAGCTCAACATCTCAAAGGGGTCTGTCCGACAAGCTCAGCTGTCCCTTCTGGACTCAGCGCCAGGTTGAGGTGCGAGCGCGCTTTGAGAAGCTCACGCAAGCTCCCGAGCTCTTAGAGTTGGAATGATGGTCCCTTCGAAGATTCTGGGGAGAGGGGTGTGGACTTGAGGAAGATGGGTTTTGCCCCTGTCAGATCGATGTCGTCCTGGCATGGGAGGAAGCACTAGTAAGGACCTTCATAGCACATGAGGCATAAATGGGACTACGTTGGAACAGCATGGGTTGTATCATGACTCCGTACAGGTCTTATGCAGCGAGCTATGATGAGGGGCTGCCGAAAAGTGCTGTCCCAACCAATGTAGCAACATACGCAGCCCGTTTCTGTCAAAGTACTCCACAAGCCCGCATCTCCAAACGGACCACCTTGCCTGACCAGCCACCACGCAGGCCACCCTTAAAGAAGAAGCAAGGACACCCACGGGACATGGCGGGCTGCCCAGATGGCTTACATTTCATTTCGCTTCTCCCGTTGGACCTGCTTTGGTTGAGGAGTACCCGTAACATGAGTAGCCCTCCTGACCGGGAGCAGTTGGAAGAGGTGCTAACCGCTCAATAGAATGTTCATTTGTTTTTGAAAGCCAGAGGCTTTGGCAAATTTGCCATCGTTTTTCTATCCTGGATTCGGTACATCCATCATGTTGACTGAGCTTGATGCCTCCTTGCAGACAACAGCACTAAGAGCCAACAACTGGAGCAGACCAGACGCAGCAGTGGTGCACCTCATCCCCAACGCGAATGGTGCTGTCCATTGCAGTACACGACAGGACAAGCTCCATCGCCAAGTTCTTGGCTAGCTTGCGGCATGCATCAAACGAAGGAGCATCAGAAAGAGGGCTTGACCAGGGCCAGGGGTAATACAATTCCTTCATATTTGTCGCTACATACTACCAATGTAGTATACCCAGTTACCATGCGGATACTGTCATGAAAGTCGTAAAGCTCTTCAAGTTATACCTTCTTGGACCCAGAAGAAAACTAGTGCTGTCCCAGTAAGAGCACTCAATGTTTCCATGGTGATTCCCATCACAATCTTGCCTAATATGATTACATGAAAAACTAGGTTCATACAGTGAGACTCATAAGGGTGCCCAGAAGCAGACCGCATAATTGACAAATTCCCCGCCTATCCTCTATCGAGCATCTGAGGTTTTCAGCCAGGCGACCATCCGAAGCACGGCAAGCAGCGTCGGCGTGGCCACGGTGCCAGGCGAGAGAAAGTTTTGGCAGAGTAGCTGTAGAGGTGATGATAGCACTAAACTAGCGCCACTGATTTTAAGTACTTCTGTTCGGGAAGTGTAAAGGTCTGAGACCTTGGGTAAACCTTCAAGGGGAAAAGACACGCAGGAGTCTTCAAAGGAATAGATGCTCGAGGAGGGTTTCTCAAAGTCGCGAGGCCTGTGTTAGTTCTCAGTACTGTTGGTTCAAAAGTAGGAGATCTTGTAGGGCTGTAGCGGCCATTCAGGGGCCAGCACACTTGGGGCCATGTGCTTCTGATTTAGAGGTCACTATCCAGGGAGTATGTGGGGATCCTGTAAGTGTGGTATGGTCATTCCCATCATCTTGTGAGCAACATATGTGAACTACGTCATGCCTATGTAGGGTGGACGTATGACGGACTGGGATCAGGTCTGACTCCTGTAGCCACGTAGTGAAGTCTCTAAAGCCATTTTATATCCCGAAGGAACAAGCCTTCAACTACATTTGAGGTTTGAATTTTGTTGAAGGAGACTACTACTTGCAGCAAGGGATGAGAGACACACGCATGGCCGCAAGGCGCTGGCACTGGCAAGTCGCAGAACCCGCGGTTGTCCATCCGCACCTTGGAGCGCTGGAGGACTGAGGGTGCTCATCCCGATTCCATCCCTCGGGGGACCACAGAATATTAGTTCATTTTGATACTCCTGTTTTAGGAGCCTCCATGTTGGTCTGATGGCCAACATGACCTAAATCCAGTGGGGAGTCTCCTGCACACCTCTTCGAGGTCTCAGAGGCTCAATGTTGTGAGAATCCCATGCCACAGATCCAGGAGTCTCAGTGACGCCTCTTTCGGAGACATGCCTGGCGGCGGCGAGCTGGAGCGCTGGAGGCACGAACCGCCAGACATGATCTTGTTGATACTTTTGAGGGCAGCCACCTAAGGCATGAGTTTTGCAACGGCCTGGTAAAATGGAAGCTGATTCTTGACAGAGAGGGATGTACCAGCACAAGGACCCCGCCAAAGCAAGGACTGGCGATGCCGAGAATTGGGTAATGCGAGCCAGTTGATCCTAGACCGTGAGGCGTCAGGAATCTGCTGCTAGGCCGGCAGCCCCGGACTCGGTCTGGCATCATCGCAGCATGAATTTGTGAAGGTCTGCTGAGAGTGTCGGGATATTCCAGCCAGCCGCGATTTGGGAGACACGTGCAGACTGCAAGACGGTGCGTAAGGAGGTAAACCATGCTTAAAGATTCATAAGAGGTTGAAGGGGGCTTCAACAGGGTCGAATGCACCGGACGAAAGAAAGAATCAAGCAGACGCGCTGGAACCCTGAACGGACTCTGAAGCAGGCAGCTGGACGAAGGGCAATTTGCCTGGACCAGCATGCCTAAAGCCTGAATCCCTCGACTCTTAAACCCTCCACGCCAAGGACCAGCAGATTCGCTCCAGCTGCTCTGCTTCCCTGCACGCCACCAATAAGTGCAGGACTTGGTAAAGACGCGTCCAGTATTCTGCGAACAGAAGGGGAACGATGGTGGTCAGCAAAACTGGCTGTCCGCACTTATATAACGTAAATGTACTTATGGGTATGGGGTGAGTGAATATAGGGTTCCCTGGAAAATATTGACGAGTGTAGATATTGGGTGTCCAGTTGAGTAGATCCTCAATTTCAAGCACGGGTCGTATGAGCTTCAGATTTAAGGGTTCCAGCTGTCTGGGCATTTTGAGGGGGCTGTTTCAATACATGGCAGAAACAAGCAAGGATGCAACCACCTGAACTGCACAGATCCTTCTTTGCTGCAAAGGTTTTTGGATATGGCGACGCCGGACGTCTTACAATCGACTTCATCGGACCTGCAGGGGGCTGGTGCTACGCCCTTTCAATGCTTTTATCGTCCGAATTCTCCAAGATGGTGATTATCATCATTTATGTTTTGATGACCACGATTGTTTCGTCCTTGCATAAACCATTGCTGCGGCTATTGCTATCATACGCAAGCTGTTGAGGCACATAAAGTGAGCTATTCAACTGGTTTGCTGAACAGACGTGCGAGTGTGATAGTCATAGTGGCAGTTTCGGGGACGGGTTTGCTAAATATCCCTCGTGCTTACTTAATGCGTTTGATCACCGCCCTGGATTCATCACCAAGAGCTGTCTGTGCAGAATTTCTTCCACGTTGCTTTCCGAGTAGATATTCCTAGATGTACCTCTGGCATCCTCTGGCCGAAGTCCTGATCTCCAGGACTTCGGCTCTGGCCAACGATTCAACGCAGCTCCTGCAAAGCTGGGAGACAAGCCGCTGGCCTCTTTAAAGTCACCAACCTGTCAAATGCCAAGGTTAACGGCGATAGAACTGGCAGCAG